GCCCCGAATTACTGATGATAGCTGTGGCGTTTCAGGATGACAGGACATCTAACAGAAGAGCGAGAGGACAAGATCCCATTCCACAGCAGCTTGTAATCAGCAGAGCAGGAGGGGCAGGGAAGGCGCCTGAGAAGTGACGGAGCACAGGGCACTGCAGAACAGAGCTGAGGAAGAGCAGAGGATTTCCAGCGGTGCTTCATTTCCAGCTGATGAAGAGGCTGTTGACATCCCCACACAAGCAGGCAGAACTGACACCTAAAGGTTAACTCGGAGCCAAGCTGTAGCAGCAGAGGTTTGAAACCAGGATGAGCAGCGGCACCTGGGCTGGCCCAGCAGACGGTTACAGGGGATTCTGCCATCGCGTATTTTATTACAGTTTCGGGTCTTCCTTATTTTATTCTAGTTTTAGGCAGAAAACAAGATAAAGCCAAAGAGAGCTGGCTCTGAGGAAGGGCTGCGAAGCACAGCGGGTGCTTACAGAGCTGCCCTACAACAGTGGGGACCTGCACAGACATCACAGGGCTGCACAGGGACAAAACCTGTAAAGGTTTAACAGCGTCCACCAAGCACCTTGATGGCAAAGCAGGGTGAAACACCTAAAGCCTATAAAAATACAAGCACAAACCACAGCCGTGATGCTGGTACTTTATAAATAACACAACTGACCAATTAATAAGCGCATGGGAGATGCTCGAGATGCTGTAATGAGTGAGGAAATGTCTGATTGAACACAGGAAACCGATTAAAGAGTATAGAAGCAGAGCTGCGTTCTGTGCGGGAGGGCAGGCGCCATGAGGCGTTTTGATGCCGTCTGGGTACTCGAAGCAGAGAAACCCCAGCGCAAGGCTGGGGCCTCAGCCCGCCGCCGCTGCTCGGAGCAACACTGACATACAGCGGCCGAGGAGCGCCGCTCGCCGCACCCTGCCCAGCCCCAGCTCCCGCCGGCCCAGCGGGTACCTGAGGCTCTCCCCAGGCAGCCCGGGTCCCCCCCGCCATCACGAGGGAAGGGGGTCCCAGCCCAGCCACCTCCAACAGCACCGTGGCTTTGCACATCCATGTCCCTTTGACCAGGCTCTTCATACCCGTGCTGCCGTGACAGCCTTCGGGGCAGGGCTGGCCTTTTCTGCGAGGGAGAGGTGTTTGCTCTGTGCCCGGGGAGCAGACTTTAATATCATTCGGAGCTTTTCAACAAATATTGGATTTGGATTCCAAATATGGCCTGAGCAGCCTAATTACCAAAAACCTACAAAATTAATGTAAGAGCCACAGTTTGATCTGAGGCAAATAAATATAAATGGTATTTATTTAATATTCCCCTGCCCTTTAAACAAGGGAAGTTTGCCATATTCAGGCAAAATAGCTTATTACAGAATAGGTGAAGTTGTGACCTATCACAGATGCTGCAGATTACACAGAACAATTAGAATATCACATCGAACAGGCCACACCAGAAACAGGGATTCATTCAGATTGCACTGCATAGGGTGCACTGCCTGGGCTGCCCTCCTGCTCACCCATCCAGCTCTGCCTGCTCTTCACAACCCTCTCAACTTTAGTCGATGGGGTTGAGCCAGTGGATGCAACCCCACCAGCTCTGGAAACACAGACCCCTTCTTCCCGTGCTTTCCCCAGCCCTCTGGGACTCACTGACCCCCCTATTTCCACTCGAAGCCTCATACGCCCACACAGTCACCCAGCCAAAGCCTCATCTCATCGCACTCCAGTAAACCACAAGGACCAGGATGACTTTGATGGAAGCATTTCATTTTAGACTGAACTAATGAGTTAATTAAAAGTGCCTGAGCATTTAGCTTGGTTACTCTGTTTCAGTAACTCTTCCCGCCTCTAATTAGCTGGGTAACTCTTACCTGATTCCCTTCCCAATTTGTCTGTGTCTTTCTTGCACTGCAGCACAAGCATTTGTAATCTTCTCCGATTTATTCAGAAATAACCTCTAATTAACAAGGACAAAGCTAATCAGAAGAGTTTTACCTATCAAGTCTATAAGCACTGCAATTCCTTAATATTCAGTATGTTAAAATACAGCCACCAGGATGACAGCCCCCCCTGCCCCAACCCCCAGGTTACAGAAAACACAAACCAGCATTCACAGAGCACGAGGGATGCTCAATTTCTGGTTCAAGTTCATTTTCTCTGGATTGTATTTAACAAAGCAGATACTAAACAAATCAGCCAACCCCAAACCAAGCCAACAACAACCAACAATTCCCCCCCCCCAAGAAAAAAAAACAACAAACAAAACCTAAAAAGCCACATATGTAAAAGACGAGTGTCTATTTAATAGTACTAATACTTGATGTGAACAGGTTTGGGTTTTAGCATTGTAATCAGCAAATATTCCATCATCAACTAAAAAAAGTTTGCTTTTGTTGATAGTGAATCAGTGCAAAAAAATCTATTGCTAAACACTGCTGAGAATAGAATAAATTAATTTACTTTGTGAACCTGCAGGCCAAGATCATGATCTGCAGTCAAAAATCCATCAAGTTACAACTCCTTGCAAGGCAGTGACTTTAAGCAGGCACTTACTCCACCTCCTATCAGTCCATCATCTACTTCAGTGCCAACAGTATCACGCACCCAGGCACAGTGATAGCTCAGATCCCTGTCATCTCACAACACACCCAGGCTCATTGCTTCAGGTGTGGACAACAAAATTCTCAAAGGAGAAAAAACTGCTATATTGGGATTCTTTAAGAGGTGGTCAGCATAACGTTTTCCCCAGTTTGTCACGTTTTATGAACCAGCAGCTTGTCTTGACCACCAGCTAAAATAACTAATCCATGAAGAGTATTTGCCTCAGTCCTGTTGAACACTGTATCAGTTTAGTACAGAGTGTACCTTACTCATTTTACTATTTTAAAATAGTCATTACAAGAAAATCCTAAATAAATACCAATCAAGCTCCACAGAAACACTGACTCTTGAGCCAAACCCACACTGCCTGCCTCAGCTTGATCTGCTGGTGATCGATATACAGTCCTGCCTGTCACCAAAGAGAATTCCTTGACAAAGAAATGACCTTCAGAAACTCAAGTGCCTCATACAAGATTTTTTTGGACAAGGGAACGAGCAGCACAGGGAAAAGCCATACAGGTGTGACACTGCATAAAGCAAACCAGCACACAGCAATTAACTTCCCATTTGAAATAGGATTTAAGTTTTTAATGTCATCCTTATCTCCTTACGTGCTTTTATTTTAGAAGATCACAAACAGAATATTGAACATTTAAATCTATTAAGCATGTTTCTCCCAGCAATCATTAAAAATCAGTTTGCTCTGACTAGAGTTGTATTTTATACCCTTCCCTGTGAGCAAACCCCATTTCCCAAGCCTGTTCAATAAGGACTGATTACACCATCTAAACTTAAGTTGATTTGTATCTATTACTAAGAATCAATAAACATCTTTCTGGAGAACGCAACCAACAGAAAGCATTTATAGGCATCACTGCTGCTACAAGCGTGGTGCTAATGGAGGTAAGCAGAATCAAGGCATGAGGGACCAGCATGGCACACTGGTGGCAGTAGCACAAACCACAGCAGTCCAACAGGCAGAATGAATTTTCTGCTTGTCAAGCTGAAAGTGTAACCTTGAAAAACATGATCATCCTTTCCTGTCAGAGACTGTAAAAATTGAGAACATGCTCTATATGTAATAATTCCAGTATTACAGGGATTTGATTACATTACAGTCCTGAGAGATGTTACACCTATGAGAAATCTGTTATCAAGATCACCACTTCCCAGCACTTAAATCATTCAAACTTAGATTCCACACCTCTTCCAAGAAACTCATCCTTAATTTGCACTTAATCTTTTAATTATTCAAATTAAAGGTACTATGATCAGAGCCTTGTATTTGCTGTTAAAAACCAGAGGAAAACTTCACTCCAGCCTTCAGACAGCAGCTATGACAGCTCTCACTACTTCCACTCATGATCTGAAGTTACATGAAGACCAAGGTTTTACAGTTCTGCTAATATTTCAGTTTTGATATGTAAAAGTTTTCTCTCCCCCTCCAGGTCACCACTTCTCCTTCTACCACACATGCTGACTGCAGGTACAAAGGACTTAGCTGGGGTCTACAGAGAGCTAGTCTGTCTCGCAGAACTCTGGGCAGAGGAGCAAATGCATTCAAAGTTTCAGTCAGTCCTGCAGCCCCTGGAGCAAGAACTGGCTGAAGAGCACAAGGGATGCAGCACCTCCAAAAGATAAGAAACTAGCTGTAACAGCAGCTCCTGCTCCTTGGTGAATATATATTCTCATTGGGTATTTCAACTGCTGTACCCAGGCCAAAAAAGCTCAGCTTCCACTTATTCCTTCTTAATCACTAAACAGCAAATGGAGACTCAAGACAGGACACTGAATCTCCGTTCTCCAAAGAACACAACCCCAGATTCCTTCACAACTCACATTTTCTAGTTAGAACAAGCCAGTGATCATTTTTACTGAAGGAAATCCACACCTTTGGTGGGGGGCAGGAACATGACCCCTTCAAAGACCTCAAGGTTTCTTACCTAGGTGAACATCTGAGATGGCAACTTCACCAAAGTGACCTACTGTGCCACGTCAGAAGCCAGGTAGAGTCCATTTGTTGTCAGGCATTAAATTAAACTGGTCAAAATAACACATTTTCAAGACACTCTGGGGTCAGTCCAATTAGACTAAATCAGGAAATGGTGGGAAAAAAGTGCCAGATACTTTAATGAGTCTTGGAGGAGGGACAAATGCCTCAAGAGAAAGGCATAAACTTGACTGAATGTGGGAATGCAGGAACACTGAGCTTCCTGCAATCACTGGAGAAGGAACACAAGGTCATTTTACAGCTGGCCCCACACTATGTAATTAACTCTTTGTGTCTGATCAGTAAGCAAGTACAGAGGGCTCATAAGACAGAAAACACCTCCCAGCATCCCAAATAGTATCAAATGTTTGTAACAATACACAGAGCAATAAAGCGACCACACACAGAACGATTTACGACCCATTGAGAAAACTATTGTTTATTTAGAAAAAAGGTTACACTGGTAGAATTCAGCAGATAAAAAAATTCTTTTTTTTTTCCTTTTTTTTCTTAAAAATGTCATTGTGAAACTTTTCAGACTAAAGTTCGGCAATACAAAGCTCCTGTAGCTGTAATTGAAACTTAATTTACTTCTGGTTTGAAGAGAGCATTTCCAATCGATCTAAAAACATGACAAACAAAAGGTGTGGCAAGGGACAACTGAGCACAGGTTGAGGTCAGGATGGAAGGGACAGGCTTCATTCTTTTTTTCTTTAAACAAGTCAACGTTGTACACAATATACAAATAATCCCTACGCATTGCATGAAAACAGTGCTCCCACTTGACTTTTTTTTTTAGTCATATTAAAAACAGGCCAAGTAATAAATAAAAACTGAGTTTAAATGAGGTAAATCCAAAAAGGTTCAATAACTGTTTATTTGCGGTTTTCAAACATCTAAAAGAACGCATTTCAGATCGAAAGAATTACTAAACTCAGGCAGTATTTTTGACAACCTAAAGTGGAACTCTGTACACATGAAACCTCATTTGCACTATGGCAACTGTTTGTTTGCAGCACATTGTGCTAAAATATGGAATAGGTAACACTTTCAGCCAGGTACTGAAAATAAATGTGTAAGAAACTAAGCAACAAGTTAAAAATACAGTAATGTACAACTCAACAATTAAATCCTCAGCATGGGGAAATAAAGCAGAGAACTGAATAATTTAAGGAGATGCAGATGGGTCCTCTTCATTCACAAATTTCTGTGCAATCTATACTCTGGAAAATACATTTCTGGTCACAGCTGGGTATCTTCCCATTTCAATCTCACCTGCAACAACAGCACACATAATTAGAATTAGATGTTGTTCAAATGAATACTGATCTCACAACTTAGCGTTTTATTCCATTCACAATTCAAAGAATGAGCGGGGGTGGGGAAATAAAACTAGTTTTATCAGTCATTCATTCCATAACCAATTCAGTCCACAGCAAGAACTGTATTAATGAAGGAGGGAAACACTAATTTAAAGATATAAATAAAACTCAAGTAGTCACTTGTGGAGGTAAAAACTCTTCCAGAAGTACAAACCCCTCAGAATATTACTATCTCTAAATTAAGCAAGAAATACACTAGGAATAATGTTATAAAACAAACTGGAGCACAGCACAACAACAACAACCGTGTTGCTATAAAGAGCATTTCTTCATCTTTTACTATGCGAATGATGGGGCGTTGTCACTATTCTAGGGGTGTTGTCACTATTCTAGGCCATATGACCCATCTTAGCCTACTACATAGCTGGATATGAATTTTACTGTGCAACTGACATTTACCTACACCCACGTTGCTTAGGTCATGATATAGTCATAACAACACAGCTGGGCTTTAAGTTGTTACAATCCTCAATTTATGCTGAATTGCTAGTCAAGATAAAACTTCACATTATGAAAGAAAGATGGAAGTCCTGAAGTTGTGAACTTCATCTACCAAAACTGTTTCTTTTTCTCCCCCAAAGCAACATTTAAATGGGGGAAAAACCTGGGGATCCATCCACAGTGTTCAGACAACAATAACCTCTTCAGACCCTTTTTCTAATACTCTCCCTCCCTTTCCTCTTTGAGGCCACAATCCATGCGTGGAGAATTTTTTCAGAAGACATTTCCAGATGATCAGGAAGATTTCATAACTCAAATTTTGGTTTCTTAGTTTGTTTTGTTGGACCTCCATCAAAACACACCTCTGTAAGTATTGTATAAGCCATCCTATAATGCTTAGGCCTCTTGGAGAGAAGTTCCCACCAGCAAAGCCTTTACACCTTTCAGACTCAGTCTCTGCTGTTTTAGTTAGAGGCAAACAGAAGAACAGGGGACTGCATCATGGTCTCTCTCTGATACGTCTAAAGCAAGTACAGCCACGACAACGAGCAATGTTAATTAGGAGTCCACAGCCAATAAATCTCTCCTGTAAGCTTTGCCATACAGTATCACCTGAAGTATTCTCAAACATGACAGCAGACATATAACTGAATTTCAAAACCAGTGAGGTTGGAAGGGACCTCTGAAGACTGTCCACTCCAACACCTTGCTCACAAAGCAGAATTAACTGGAGCAGGTTGCTCAGGACTGTGGATTACCAACTTAGGTTTTGAATATCCTAAGGATAGCAGCTCCACCACCTCCCTGGGCAAACTGTTAAATTTTTGACCATTCTCTCAGTAATAAGACTTTCGCCCTCCCCCAATATCTTCAAGTGGGGTTTACAACAAATCATATCTATGAAAGGTAGCATCACTTTACAGACCAGCCAAGACAGTTGTGAAAACAAGACAAATTTGGAGGCTCATCAATTCTTCTTCAAAATCCACAACAAAGAATGATTTACTGATTTAAAAATGTTGTCTTCCCCCTAACAGTGTCAGTTTGCCTGATAAAAAGAAAAACTCTGCATGCCTTGTTTTGTTCATATACTACTCTATGAAAGCAAATAATCTCAAACCATGAAAATGTGTAAGTGAATAAAAAACTGTTTCTACTTCATTTCTGCTCGTGCTTCCTTTGAGCTCTCACAGAACCTATACACAAATTTTTAACAAACAATTCATCAATTCTAAATAGAGAACAAACAAGAATGATAAACACTTGGACAATTTGTGAACGTTCAGAAAGAAGCCATATTGTTTGCTATTTGTTAAGCACTATCAGTTATTTTCATGTTTACCCAACATATAGACACTTCTTAAAATGTAAAGTGTCCACTGCTTTATGTAGAAAGATTGGTAGCAGCGGGTGCCTCGAGCTGGGGAGGTCAGGTGAACTTATTTTAAGTTCACTGGGACACTTTCTTTTCCTGCCCAAATAACTGAAAATGAGATGTTCCAAGTCTCAAAATGGCTAGCTGCAAACAGCAGAAAAAACCCCACCCTCATACCCCTAAAACTAAACGTAAGTTACCTCATCTTTGCATAGTTCTTAAGAAAAAAAAAAAAAAATCAGAACAGTCAGCTTCAATGAACAATTTATTTTTCTAAAAAACTCTAGCCCAAATATGGGCTACTCAAAATACTCTGAAGTTTCTCTTTTCTTTCTGCAAATAGTCAATGCCTCTATGTGAAAGTTTTCCTTTGGTTTCTTCCTCCTTAAATCTATCAGATAAGAGATGAATCAGAGATAATGAACTGATTTACTACACTATATAGCAATTTGGTCTAAAAGCTAGTGCTTTCCTTAAATTAAAAAAAGAATACAAAACTTGAGTTTCTAACATATTAGGGCAAGATATTCTTAACAGGTTAGCAAGACTGATGGCTATCACGACCACATTTGCCAAAGAGGTGAGCATCTATACAATCTCTATGCAGATGATGGGGAAGGTTTTTTTTTCCCTGGGATAGAATAAAAAACCACCACAAAAACCTGCCCTCCCCAAGCAAACAAAACCACAACTACCTCCAGAAAATCCCCCCCCAAACAACAAAACCACCCTAAAACCCACCCTGGGTGATTTCAGCCCTTTTACACACAGGCTGTTTTGTTTGTATATTTTTTTACCAGTCAAAAGGACCCATGAGGGACACCAAGTCAGAGCAAACCATAAAAATTTTTACCTTGACTGGAACAATCTTCATTATCTGTGCTTGTCTGAAGATTTATGAGTAGATTCAGCGTTAAGGAAAAATGTATTTCCCTACATATAATAAAAGGAAGCTCATTTTCTGTATTGTTCTGAAATGTTAATGTGTAAAAGGATATTGTTTCTTTTCTTCCTTTCCTCCAGTACTGTCTCGTTTTTCTTTCTTTTCTGTTTTTTCTTTATCATGTCTTGATTCCTTTAAAAAATTCATACAAGGGAAATCATTTATTATAGTATACAAGGTATAGTCTGATAAGAAGGATTATGAATATTTAAAGTTATAACTGGCCACAGCTAAAAAAGTTATCAGTTAGAATGACAGTAATCAGCTTCTATGATTTCTGAGATTATTCTAACTTTGTCTTGCAGTTGTATGATAACCACTATCACTAATGAGTTAAAACTGGGAACTACTGTTTGGTGTATTACAAATAACTACAAACAGAAATGACTTCTGCTTCCACAAAAGAATGCTGTGCTGACACATGCACATGAATCTGAATACAAGCAGACTAGTTTATGTGTCAGTTAACTCTGCTTTCACATATTTGCTCACCAAGCAAGTCTGCAATATTCTAGATTATTTAAACCCTGAAGTGTAAATTCTGAACTTTCTTCGCTGCTGCCAAAATGAACCATTTCTCCCATTTATTCTACCAGGAGTGAGTGCTGAAATATTTAGAGCCACAAGATACCAGAATTTCCAGAAGCAGCATCTTACACATTCACAGTGTACTTTTTTCAGTTTAGGCCATAAACCAGCAATAAAATACAGGAAGAAAAGAATCAGTTCGCTCTGTCAATGTCAGCATCAAAGCAACAAAATGAGAATACTTATTTTACCTTTTTGCTACCAGAGGAGCTCTTCTCCATCTTTTCTGCTTTAATTGAATCACCTTTCTCTTTTCCTGAAGATTTTGATTTGTTCTTCTCCTTCTCCTTTTCATTTAAGCGAGGGGAATCTGATGGACTTTCACTTTTACTATGTTTTGAAGAACCAGCTAAAAACACAAGACTCAGCTGTAATTCACAGCAAGTAAAAGCCTAATACATACACAAAATGTTAAATACGTACTTGTTCCGTTTTCCTCTTTGCGTCTTTTAGTTGAATCCTGTGGTACCTCCCGGTCACTGTTTGAATGATCCTGGCACCAAATACAATTATGCAGATGTTAACAGATTAAAACATACTCCCGAAGTAGCGCTTGCTTATAATGCTATTTTGGAGAACTGATTTTTGAGTATTCAAATGTATTTGAGCTATTACATCTTGTCTAAACATCCTGTGTGTTTCTTGAGATCAGTTTTGAAGGGAAAAGCATTTGAATACATTACTGTAAACTGACCTTAGAAAAAGCAAAAGGACAAAAGAGAAACACCCCTCATATGGATCACTTTTGCTTGGCTAGACTGTACAGCCAATTATTACTGCAAGGACTTTGAACAGAAAGCTTCCCAAGTATATACCAACTTTCTAAACTAGTTCATAAAAATGTCACCAACCCTTTTTCGATCCTTCCTGTCCTTGTCATCTTTCTTCTCTCTCTCTCTGGATCTTTCCCTTGACTTGTCCAAATCTTTCTTGTCCACTTCTCTCTCCTTACTCTTGGACAGTGTTGGAGTAGTGTGGTTAATGTAGTGCTGTTAAATTAAGGCAGTATCACCAAATATTAATATGTATACCTAGATGTATAAATAAAAAGTCTTACTCTAATATAACAGATCTAGCTCAAAAGCAAAATTAAACATTAATACTTTACTACCAAAACCAAAAGTGATTTGAGATACTTTAAAACTTGTTATCTATAATTTAATATACAGTTTTCTCAACACTGGAAATTCAAGAACACTTTCTCTTAACTGAAACACTTATGTTAAATACACACAACATTGTTCACCAGCATTGTCTGATCCATCAAAACACATCAGATAGCAGCACTATCGAAACAGGGTATGCAGATCCCTGGACTGACTTAACACTTGTCGTTTTGCCTGGAACGAGTGAATGGAATCAGCTGCTTAAACAGATTCTAGTTAATTTTTAAAGAATAAACTTAATCCATGAATAATTTAAACAAATACTATGTATAATACAGGTTTTCATCTAATGTAATACAAAACTCTACCTTAAGCCTAAATTTCAAATGATAAAGCAGGTGAACATAGAAAAGAATTGGTTTTGCTCTATAATGTGTCCTAGATTGTTACTCCACTCTCTCTTCTAACAACTTTGATAAACTCTAAAACATACGAGTTCCACAAAGCTTTATATATCTTAATATAAACTGGGATCACAGGGGAGAAGAACAGAAAAGCCACAGTAAAAGTATAACATTGACAAAGTTTAAACGCTACTCTGTGTGTGCGTGTATATCTGTAATACAGGCGCTACTGTGTATAAGTATTGATGTATTCAGTAACTAAATTCTGTCTCCTTAAATACTATTATAAACTAGATTCAAGAAATATTTTTCATAAAATACCAATAAGGCCACATTTAAATTAAACTCCTCTTTCCTTGGTATTTTATATCCTTAAGTTACAGTAACACACAAACTTAGATCAATATACCTTAATATTTCCCCACTTAAATAAGCTATTAATTCTGGGGAAAACACAGTAGCTTTTAATTAAATATTCTCTATATTTCTTTTTGGAGAGACATTTTACTTAAAAGGACACCAAAGAAAGAGATAAGTAGAAGATTAGTTTAGAACAATCTAGTAATCACTTGATGCAAACAAATATTGTTTCAAATTATTTTATTCTTTTAGCAAAATTAATCCTGCCCTTCTCCAGTTCCGGTAAATGTTTAACTTACCAAAATTTGATGTTACTGGTCCTATGTCAAAAACCACACTGGCAATGTTAGGTCTTTCTTTTTATTACTGAACTGGATTTTATTATCCTCTTACACAGCAGACTGAACCTTCAGTACTACTTTTCTTTCTACTATTTTCCCTTCACTCCTCTTTGCTTGTTCCATTTTCTATGTTGCCATTCCACAGGTAAATGTATCCTTGATCCCCTTTTGGTGTCAACTTCAGTGACTTGCAAATACGTTTTTTCTATGCAGCCCCATTCAGTTGTCTCCCACAGATGCTTTCCATGTGAGACAGCAAACAGATAGCTCTGCTTTCTCCTATTCTGTTTCTTAAGTCCACATGATTGTTCATAACTGATTCCACCGCTCTTCTACTATCCCAACGCAGTTTTGGAAAACCGCATCTCTCCAATCCCCTTTTACAGGAAAGGGCTGGGTTTAGCTCATCAGGCTTTATCAACCTGCTCTAGAAATGCTGCTAACTGAAACCACATCAAATTCTGGGCACTGTTATATATTGTGTAACTTAGGAAAAGGCCAAAACAAGAATAAACACAAATCTAAACTCAAGTCTGGCTTCATTTATTTTATAACCTGCAATGTAAACCAATGTTTCAATGGTCTTGGTCCAGAAAATGGATGAAGTCAGGAATAAAGGTTGTAAGCAGACAACAGCACTAGACTTCTACTAACTTTCAGTAGAAGCTGAACCCATAAATCTTCCAAGCTTCTGAATAACCCACCCTTTCCCCAAATAAGTATAAAGAGCATTTGACTTGTCTTACATCATGAATAGGGAACACTGTCAAGCAGTGCCTTAAGTCTGTTAGAATGGCACTGGAGAATGAAAATTAGTTCATTAAGTGAGAAAGAACAGAAAACAGTACTTAGAAGAGGAAAGTTTTGAACACTCTCCATCCCCCAAACACTTAAACCAATAAATCCTTGAAGTCACACAACTGCAGTACACTTTCAGTTAAGTCTACAGAAACACATTATAGTCAATTCTAAAGTTTAACTTTTTTTAATTGACTAGAAAAATGAAGCTGTTTGTTGATCATTTAAACACAAATAGCTCCACTGTCTGCTCCATTACCACATCAATGGGTTAATATGTAGAAGGAATAAAAAAATTAGCTTAGCTAATGAAAACTTGAGTGAAGTTTCAATTAACCAGTTGAACCCTAACTAATAAAAGAAGTGAGGGAAAAGTGAGATTATACAGACTACCATATACCGCAATTCAGAGAGATGTGAGCTCAAAGCAAATACTGTAGCTTTCTGATTTCAAAAAAAATCTTAAATATACAAGGTATCATCGCAACGATTCATAAATCTTTTTTTGACATGTATGGATTCAATCTAGAGACACTGTAATTTCATCAACTGTAAGAATCAAAGGCTACTTCCTATACATTCTCCTTATGAGCAGATATGGTTGTTACTGGAAAGATTCAATACAACCATCAGCAAGCGTCCACTATAAAATCAGGGCTATTTTGAACTAAAATAAAGTGTTCTGAACACTTTGTTTATAGAAACAGAGCTACAAGGAAAAGAGCAGTGTAAATGTAGAATAGGAAGTGATAATCCATTATGCGTTTTTAAATTAAGGGAATATAAGTAATCCTAGATAAACCCTAAATTATCCCAGGAAGTCCAAAGGGTCAGCATTTGCCAAGTGATAAACATTTGTGCTATTCAGTTACACACTGATGCTGACTGCATCATCAAAAATCGTTAACAGAAACTTTAGAAGATCTGAGCCATTTCCTATTAGCCTAGTATATTAGCAACTTCAGAGTATTTGCGAGTGTTACTATGCAAGTGGTTGATTCTTTAAAAAACACAACAGAATAGCTTTCTAAATCACAGTATGTCATTCAGTCTCATCCCACTCTACTCAGCATTTGTCAATCCACACCTGGAATACTGTCTTCATGGTCCCAGCTATAGAAAGATGTAAACAGGCTGACAGAACTGGGTTCAGCCTTGAGAAAAGAAGGCTCAGGGAAAACCTTATCACCATGTTCCAGTATTTAAAGGGTGGCTACACAGAAGATGAAGACTTCTTTTTACAAGGAGTCACATGGAAAAGACAAGCATACAGGTTACGTCTGGGGAGATTCTGGTTGGAAATAAGAGGACCAGAAGAGATATTGACCCATAAAATCTCTTTAAAATATTGACAGAATGGTAAATTCAGAGGATTTTCGTTATGTTGCTTCCACATAACTACTCCTCTATCCTGTACAGAGGTTCTATATAGCAGATTGAAAAAATTCCCCTCTGTTACTATACTAGCATATAAAGGAATGGAATTTGCATTCCCTGGTGGGGTTTGCCACAAGACCAAAAGTTAAGTTCTTTCCACAACAAAACACGAAAGTAAACTTTGGTGGTGTCTAAAAGATTCAAACCTTTGCTGAAGAGTCCTTGAGTTCGTTGAGGTTGTCCTGTAGAAAATGAATGGAGATGACACGTGAGCTGGAATAGTTTTCAGAAACCAGAGGAACTTTGGGAAGCATGGCCGTACCCTTGAAACAAAAAGCAGCTACTCCTTCTGGAATAAATCTCATGTTAATACTGTACACTGAACAAAGCTAGGAACCGAAATAACTTTTAAAAAGGAAGAAGGAGAAAAAAAAGGAAAGAAAAAAAAGACAGTCATATCTATTCTCTAGACCCAATTAAGTAAACTACAAACTGTGTTTATCTCTAATTCTTCATAAAACAGTGAAAAAAACTCTCCCACCAAAACAAGATATAAAGAAAAAATAGTCTTAACTCTAAATTTAGCTGAGCCACAGGTGAAACAGGTTTAAAATGTTTTTAAACCTGTATCTTCTCCACTTTCAGTTAAATGTGGTAGAAGTTCCTCTAGAATGAGTTTCCATCCAAAACAGGGAAGAAAAATGTCATTGTTTTGAGTAGTTATCACTATCACCTGCTTCCTCAAAACTAGTAACAGATATTTGAGTTTTCCAAAATTAGCCCAAATTTTTCAAGCAAATCTTACACAGAAAAAGATGTATGCTCTGAAAAAAACAGGAAAAAAAAGAAAAGCTTGTTCTAAAGTTGGTAAGATGGTGAAGTTTAAAGGCCCACATAATCCATCACAGTGCTCTTGATGAAGTAGTATTAACTTACAGTTTTAAACGTTCAACGTACTGCAAATTCAAAGATTCCATGAACATAGATGGTTTAGAAATAAAAGAGATATGGAGCAAGGAATGGCTACCCTGAGTCTTCAAGTAGGCTACGCCCATGGTTTTGTGCTGCGCTTGAGTGCTTGGGATTTCTCTTTGCTGGGTAGTAGGCTTGGTTGCCACATCTGGTTTTATCGTAACGCAGGGCTCAACATGGTGGGAACCCATTGGAAATAAACAAACCTCGAAGGGAAGGTACAACAGAAGCTGCATGCGCACTGAATATACACAACTACAGGAGAACTGATCACCAAGGAGACTTTAAAATGGAACTCCTTTCAAGACTCCTCCTTAGAAGGCACATATCGGTATGATGCTCATCAAGAAGCCTGATGAATTCAGAGGTATCGTACATCCCGTATCATCCAGTAATCTTCAGCGCTACAGATTCTTCAATAGAAGGGCAGAAAAATATGCTCCACTCTGATGCAAAGACTCATTTGCTTGTAGCTACCATTGACTCCAAAAAAACTGACTGCTTAAAACAATGAGGCACTTCTGTGTAAAAATTCTCTTGCCACTTCCAAACACTATTTACAAAATTTGTGCTAGGTCCTTGAAGCATTATTTTGTTATTTAAAAATATTTTTATAGAAAAAAAATAGTCCGCCAATAAAGAAAAGGAATGCATTTTCTAATGCAACATAAAACCTCCAGTGGTTCCAGTGTATACTTGGCACAAAACTTGAAGGAAGTCGAACATTGGCATCCCAAACTCGTGAGCCTAACATGGGTGCTGCCTTCCTCAGGCTATACTAACCTTTACTGTTGAGGAATGTGATGGAGAAGAATGTGTATCAACTTTGCGGCGTTTTTGTTCTGAGGAAAGAAAAGAACAATAGCACTGTTAAAACACATCTGAAAGAGGATAATCTAATAATATGGCTTTCTGAAGTACCAAAATAATTTAGGCTAGAATTTAGGGTTTATCACTATGTAAATTTTGTTATTCTTAAGCTACCTAGAGTTACCAGCATGTATTAACCCTCTTTGTGAAAGTTTACAAGGAAAGTATCATGAGAACCAACTGCTGCAAATTATGCTTAAACTTTTATTTTATGAAAATCTGTGTCAGAATTGCTGTGAAGACCCTGAAAACGTGAGCCCAGTGAAAAGCAACACAACCCTCCTTTACTTAGTTTGCCTTAAGCAGTGCAAGTAAACTCAACATCAGCCTCAGATTATAAGAACTTGAAATATCAACGTTAAGGATTTGTTAATCCTTAATGTAAGAAGGGACTGATAAAGCTTACTGTGTCCTGAAGTAGGACACAGTAAAAGCCTACATCTTCCACAGCCCATTTTCTTTCAATTCAAAGGTTATGAAGAAACTCTTGGTTACGCTTTTGAGGGGATTGTGTTAAATTTGTGCAAAACCTGCAAGGCCACAGCTATACAAATGCATTTTAATTAAAAGACCCTACAAGATTTATACTAAAAAAATTACAGTCTGTAAGAAAACGAGCATTCACAGAGGACATGTGAAGTTCACATGTTCACATAGTTCACCTTTTGCAGATACCCCGACTATCTACTTTAGGCACTAACTGTACTTAAAAGCCAGTGCCAAAATGACAGCTAGCATGTAGCAATTCTTTCTTGCCATCTCTAGCATTTTCAGACATTCAATGATTTCCCAGTGACACCTCCCATTTTAATAGACAAGAGTACCAATTAAATATGCAAACTTACCCCTTTCAGATTCTGATGTTTCTGATCGGGGAACAGGTGACTTCAAGGACCCAGCTACTGGCACCTTTTCTCCTCCTTTAGCATTTTCCTTGGATTTCATTTCCTTCGCTACATCTCTTTCTCTGGATGGCTCCTTTTCTCTCTCCTTTTCTGACGTTGACTTTGACTCAACGATGGTAACAACTGTCTTGGATTTTTCTTCTTTTGAAGCTTTTTCTTCTTTCTTGACCTTTTCCTTCTCCTTGTCCGATTTTGGCGTTTTCTCCTTGATCTCTCTTGCTTTATCATCTTTATTTGCCCGTTCTTCCTTAGGTTTATCTTTCCCATCCTTCCCAAGTGCCTTCATCTCTGGAGTGGCAGCTGGAGTCTTGTCTTTTTTTTCTTTATCTTTTTCCTTCCCACTTTTTTCTTTATCCTCTTTCTCCTTAACAATTTTGCTGCATCACAAATAAAAAGGCCAATTAGAATGCATAAATAAACAGCTCCAGTTTTACCGCACAGATTTTACTTCTGGTGGTTTGACAGAGCCTCCTAAAGCAGTCACTGTCAGATTTCAGATTTGCTGTCTCTTTATCAGAACAACAAGAAGCAAATGTTTTCATTTGTTTTATCTTTAGCTAAAATGGAATGCATTTAACAACAGTGCCAGATCATTACAGCTGTATATTTTGGAAGAAATTCTCATTTAATAAACTTTGAAGAAAGGGAAAGAATTTCTCAGAACCTGAAAGTAAGGAAGTCAGTTTTAAATATAATTCTATGGTTTGGAAGGAAGAAAACAGAGAATGCCAGAGAGCAGCTTTTCTCACCTATTAGAAGCACTGTTTCCATTGCTTGTAGTCACCTTCGGTGTAGCATTTACAGCTTTATTAACAACCTTCACCACACCCTGAGACTTCTCCTTTAGTTTCTCTATTTAAAAAAGATAATAGTTTTATTTCAGTAAGTTAATATATATCCTACAGATTAAAATAAAACAAGTACCTAAGAATATTCATGTAAGATCATATGTAGCTAACAGTTAAAATAGGTAATTAAATGCAGAACACCCACTCCCAAAACCAACTAAAAACTAAAGAACACAACACTGACCCAATTTAACATCACATTCAGATTTTTTCACTTTAATAAGCTAAACCTCGATGTCAACAGAATTCTACTAAAAAAATAAAAATAAGCAGTAATCATAGGTTTGTTTACCAGTCTCCTCAGCAGTGCCTTCTTCCAGTCTAACTGTATTTATTGTGAGAGATGTAGGCATCCCAGCACCACCTGGCCCATTTTGTACTGTTGCAGCTACAGCATTCCTGGCAGGTGGGTCTTTGTGGTGGAATTCATTTTCAGGTATCATGAAAGGCTTCCTACTTTTCAACTGCCCAGAATAGCTGCAAGTCGCACAGATTGTTAAATATGCACAAACATAAAGCAAAACATGGGTTGAATCTTAAATGAGGATCTAATCTAACAGTTCATCTGTTATTTATTTCACAGGTTTTCCCAACTGATATGCAGTTTCTTCCCCCTTTATCGATGAGCTCAAAAGAAACACAAACAAAACAGAACAAAAACAAACAAAAAACCTACTAGACACAGAAGCAGCCCTACCTCCACACTCTCTTCACCACCACCACACACTCCCCTGCCAAACATGCAGAAGAAACAGCCTACTGTCAAAACTTATAACTCTGAATTGTCCCTCAAGCATACGTGGATGATTCTGCATTCATCACAAAGATGTGAAGCATAAATAAGCATTTTTAGAATCATATAAACTTCCAAAATCTAAGCAGTCTTGCATCAGTGGCCCTTGGCTTTCTTCATTTTACTCTCCCTCCTATATACTTGCTGCTATACTACTTCTCTACAACTAAACTATGCTCTTGTGAGTGTTTTACTAGAGTCTTGTAAAGAAAATTAGTGATCATCCAGCACAAAATGAATGTTTTCATTCACACTGCCAGTACTGAGATGCAGGATAGCGAAATCTTCTGTGATAAGGTAAAAATCAATGTTAGGACTGTAACAGTTCCGAGTCTTTAGAAGCCTTTCATGATCCACTTTTAACCACTTTCTTAAAGTAAGGTGTTGTTACCCCATAGCCAATGCATATAGATCAGGTCTCTTCTCTTTCTCTTCCTGACATATCTTGTGTACTCTTCTTTCCAAGGCTTGGCCCAGATTCAGCACTTTTGGATACCATGGAAGGATTTTGGTCAGCACAATCAGGATATTTCTGATATGTGTGTATTCCCCCGTTTCAAGGCAGTGCACAGAAGCCTGGAACGCAAATGAATTCTAATGAAGCTTTTATTGTTACTAAAGCTTCCAAAAATCTATGTTTTTTGACATATTTATTTACCTTAGTTAGTTTGTAGTGCCATTTGTGTACCACATGTCTAAAATTCTCATAATCCAATTGATCAGCTTTATTTCCACCATCAAATCCAGTTGCCCGTAATATAGTTAGGAAACCTGGATAGTTGCCACATTCCTAAATTGCATAAAAGGAAGAATATTTATTTTTCAGGAAGCATGAAAACAGTAATTCTGCAACAGTTAATATGGTAGCTACAGCACTTTTTCACTGATTCTGTTAAAGACTAAGACACAACTACACTTTACAAGACTTACAGACTTCTTTTAAAAGCTTATTTATGTTGAAACCCGAGTTGTGGTCAAGAGAAAAGATTACTCATCATTTAAATAGCTTTTGCAAAGAATATTATGAGTTTCCATATGCTCCCTGAATTATCTTCAAGACAAGCTATCAGAAATGCAAGATTAGTTTTTTTTCAGCCATATATTTTCTGACACCACACAAAACTATTCTATTAAAATTACATGAATTACAGAAACTCAATTTTAAGACTACACTAATAAAAAATTCGGTGTTTCTACATCTATTTCACTAAATCCATTTTTATTGGGCTGAATTATGCAAGCGGCCATTACATTCTCATGAGTAAGTTTGTTTCAATAACTTCACGTACCTTTTCATATATGACTCTGTCACTGTGCCACCTAGTCACAGTCTCCAGCATACAGCACAAAAACCTGCCATATCTACTAGCTTCATTTTCAGTGCAACTTGCAACTGTATATATAATATCAGAGAAAACCTGTGAACAGCAGCAATAAAAGGTTACAATGACTTCACTGAATTACAAAAAGAACAAGAACCAACAAGAATTGCAAATTTCTCATCTAAGCCGCTGTTAAGCTGGCTTCTAAATATAAAGGAGATCTCAAAATATTCTTGGTCTGTGTCTTCATTGGCATATAAGTGTTTTGTTTTCAAATCAGTAACTTGTTTGAGCAGGTGGAAGTAGACACCTAGCCAAGATGATGCACCCTGGCCTGTGCAGGTTCATCAAAAGGGCTCCTGCAATTGCTTGTTTTTGTCAAGTGGACTGGCTACTTGAGTAGGAATACATACACAACTGAAAATGGGAGAGTGAAATGAGGCCAAAGAAATGCAGACCACTGGAAGGCTGCAAAACCCAAATACAAGTCCTGTGACTGCTAATGCCTTTGCTCTGATACTCTAGTCTCATTAGATAAATCAAAACCAAAATTTCTTGCAAATAAACCCCTGAAGCTCTAGGAAAACTTGGTTTGTAGAACCTGAAGTACTTTTGATTGTCACAGAGTTTAGAATTAAAAGATTTTGTTTACCCTTTTGGGAGGCAGGCAGGACACTAGCTCTGCATGCTCATAATAGTAATTAAGTACATACACATGGTTCTAGGTACTTACTCTGTCATAGCAAAGAAGTGTGGAGAAGTTGGGTGTTTTCTGCTGATGCACCAGTTCTACAAAGTGAGCACAATAAACTGCATCGATTGCCGAAAAAATGCACCGAGGAAATATACATAACTGCAGAAATTTTGTGATAGTCTCATTTTTCGTAGACTCTTCAAAAACAGAGAAGTTGGGAGAAACAAGAAAGAAAAACCAGTTAGTAAATGGGTTAACACTCAACTGCTCTTTCCAAGTTCATTGTCACACATCTGTATTCTTGAGTTTGTATATTAGGCCACTTGTTTTCCAGACATATCTTTAGCACTGCTCAGAAAAAGTCAAAATAAGCTGAAGTGTTTGGGGATGGGGGCATGGTAGGAGGGTGGCTGCAGCAAATCTTCATTTCTTACTGGGAAAATGCTTCTATTACACAATAGGGTGTGAGGGAGGGAAGAGGCTCAGAAAAACCTTTGGTCAACTCTAAATGCTCAAAATCTGTAAATTAGCAGAAGCAGCAGCATCTGCTATTTCTCTAGAACATTTGTTTTCTCCTTTCTAGATGGGGTAACTTTCAGGTTGGCTCCCTTAGAAATGGAAGAACATGTTGTCTGTGCATATACAATCCTTCAACAACCATTTTTTCAACCAAACAATTATAGGAATTTAAAGACAGTCTTCACTAAACCACCATCCCAATACAGATATATTGTGTGAAGGCTTCATTCTACCACTGAGTGAATGACTGTACTGTATGCTCAAGTTACCCCATTCTATCTGACCAGTCACTGGCTGGCCAACGTAACAACCAACCACATACCCAAACTGGTACCATGAGCTCTTGCCCAGTTAACAAGGAGCATAAAAACAAGCTGGGAGGGATGCACAGCACAAAAAGGCAGGCAAGAAGAAATTAAACACAAGGATGAAAGCACAGAACTGAAGACTGAAAATGGATGCCTTCAGAGGAAGAACAGTCACAATCCTCATGAGGGCAACTGGTGTTTTTTTGCTGGGAGCAGACAAATTTATCGGTCAGGTCTAGACCTAGGCTGGTAGTATTTTTTCAACCAGTTATTTCATGTAGCTAATCAGCTGTCCATAGCAGTGCATTAAATACTTGTAGGGGAATAACTTTTCTTAACTGTCAATGTTTCTTCATTAGATCAGTTGGGTGTATCTTACATGAGTCAGACAATAAAACGCTTTTCCACTGGATTATGCTAGGCTCCTTGGGACAGATGAACAACTACTTCCAGTTACAAACTGAAAGTTCCTCCAGGAAGAAAACTGACCAGAGAAAAACATTTCAGATTAACCATACTAGTAGAGTTCACAATCAATACGAAACATTACAGAGGCTTTATCAGAGGAAAAAAAAAAAAAATAAATGTTTGTTCTGCCTTCTGCACATCTGCCCCACGAAACATTTGCATGCTGTTTCATTTTGTGGTGTAGTTAGGCTTGCACAATACTTATCTTGTCATTGGAACAGGGTTTATGTAACTGCTGAGGTACTGGCATATTGCTCCTAATCATAGGACTTGACCATTAAACTGTTCATGGAGTGTTTATATGCCTATTTCTTGCAATGTAGCAATTATCCTAACTTAGCAGCACTCTAACTGCAGTAAATAAGCACAAGCTATCTTGCAGTTATAACTTTCCACTGAATTGGTCAATCTTTGATTTCTTTTCTAAATTAATGCAATATTTGAAAGGTCTTGATATCGTTTCTTGCAATGGCAAGATACAAACAAAACATCACCCTAAAAACCAACTTCTCCACATTTGCAGCAAAGACACATTACACTCTAATTAAATGTTTGCCCTGCTAACAGACCTCAACATATAAAGAGATTTTAAAAATCAACATTAGGAGCATTAGTAAAAGCTGACTTTTTAGTTCTGGGGACACCAAGGACTATAAAAACATCCAGAGTGTTTCCCCTACAAACACTTACTTGCCAGAAGCCAGTTATCCTTCTCTAGTTTCAGTCTCTGTAGGACCCTCTGCACATGCTCCAACTGCTTCTTCTCCTCTTCAAGAAGCTTGTCCTGGAGAGCTGTGCAACGTTCTTTTTCTTTCTTCTTTTTATTTGGAGGCTACAAAATGTCAATGCAGCTCACTTAGTATTATTCTAACACTTGCTATAGACATAGCAATTAAATTCCTGATAATGCTAAAGAACACTTGAAAACGCTTTCTTTATAAAAAGATTCACTAAATAAACTTCTGCTTTCGTAATCAACTGATTTTATGAATACTGTCAAAGACAAAAATGAACAGCTAAACCACAGCTAAATACAGGTGTCAAAAAACTCTTTGTGAAACACAGACTTTCCAGTAATTTTCACTTAGTGAAGTCACTGGTTATTTTTAATGCAGGAATTATAAGGAAGAGGAAATCCAAATCATGTGAATGCAACAAATCAGGATCAGGTGAGAAAACCTCCCAGATAAAAATGACCTTAATATAAGATTTCACAAAAATAAGAAAAGAGTCTTTCAAGGTTAGACCATAAAAATACATAAACATACCATTTCCTGATTGTCATCTATGGCTTTCATCTGGACTTTAAGTTTATTGACTTCTCTGTCATAGCTACTATGTGGGACGGCAAGGTCATACATTGTCAAAGACCAGAATGTAGCGTAAAACTGAGGACTGATGTCATCCCATACTTTGGGAAGGTGCAGAGAAATCACAGCATCATGAACAGGAGCCATCACCAGCTCACACGATGTAATGTATTTGTGAACTTTGTGCTGCTGCTTATTGCCCTTCTCAGCTTTTTTTAGTTCATCATACTTTGACTGTGGAGAAAAAAAAATGAAAAATAAGAAATTTGAGAAGTTAAATTATTTTGGTTTATGAGATTACAAAAACCTACATAACAAATATTTACACACAAGAAAAGTCATTTATGAACACAAAGCACTGAAAACATCTTACAGAACTTTTAAGTATTCATCCATATTGGATGGATTTACCTTCTTCTGATGTTGCTACCTAGTGTTATAGTAACACATCATACTACACCAAGTAAGATTTGCTCTCAATATTTAACATTTTAGATGCAGGGACAAATCCATTTCTGACACTTCCTGAGATACCGCACCTTTTGGCAGCTGCAATGTTTTCCTCCACAGCAAAAATACATCGAAAACATCTGCAGAATCTGCACTTTTCAGGGAATGGGGAGGAAGAGAACTGCTGATCACCCAAATCATCAGAAGAGATGACTTCATAAGCTACAACCTCTGTCAGTGGTGTCAAAGCTGACACACAGGCCATATTTTTTATGAAGACAAAGATAACCTGCTCCAGCCCACAGCTCCTCTTTCTACTTCTACTCATAAAGCTCCTGCAATTTTTATTTAGCAAACATTAGCAGAAGTCTAGCACATATATTGATAGCATGTAATATAGCAGTGCTAATGACAGGCAAACAGAAGCATTCTACTTACTGAAATATGATGTGCATACATGGGTCTTGAGAGGAAAAATGCAGCATCATGAGGTGTGTGAAACTCGTTACAGAGAACATCAATAGAAGGCACTCGCTTAATGTAATCCTCTGTGCTTAGATTGGATGCTAAAAACCCACCAAACTGTACCAGGGTGTCATGGCACTACGTGGGAAAGACAGAAAAAGTTAGCAAACAGTCTTATTTTGTTCAGAAGTGAAGATCAGGAGAGCTTGACCTTTTTCTTTTCTTCTTATTAAAAAAGTTAACACACAGTACAGCAAAAATTATCCCATGCCACATACTTCTGTCGCTCAACACTGACTAAAATCTATCTGTGAGAAAAAAAAAAAAAAAAAGCCCTACAAAAGCCAGCAGAACTGTAAGAGCATTCTAATCTACCAGAATGAAATTAAACTAGTTCCTATTGCCTAAGGCAGCAAAGGAATTCAGGCTGTTTCTTTTTAATAGAAAAAAGTTCCTCTAACAAAGAAAGGTCAGAAAAACACAATAGCTGCCTTAAGAAATAAGAATTTAACTTTTAATGACAAAGGACATTTTAATCTTTCACTCAGAAGTCGCTTCTCAATATATATTTAATATACCCATATATTTTAGATGAGATCACTACAACTAATTCTGAAAATTCTTATATATTGGTATTTTGTAACAGTAGCAGTTACCAAAGGGGTTCTCATAAATGCAAGTGGTTTTACTTGCCTGATCATACAGTTTTCCCACCAGCTTCAGATGTTTTTCCCCTCCCTCTTGAAAGATCACACCATTTCTCTGTTGAGCCATAAGCAGGCACAGTGGAAGGGCAAGATCATGGTCCAATAATGCATCTTTCAATCTCTGAGAAGATTTTTTCGTGTTCCTGATCTGGCCAAAGTATCCACCCTGCACAGTACAGAAAATGTTACTCAAGTTTGGAAACACTACATCACAAAATGGAAACCATACTGATGAATTAACATCACTGGAGTGCCCTGTCCACCAATAACACCCTCTCTCTGGGTCCTGTACAGCAATGTGTAGGGATATATATATATATATGAATCAGAAACTAACTAGTCTTGCATGCTCTTAATTAGTCTTTCACGCAGCAAACTGAGAGTGATATTTCAGCTCAGGCACCATGACACTGCATTTTAAACCTAGGTCTGCTCAACATCTCTTCTCTGTTCAGTACAGGAGTTTCAGATTTTATGCCTATAAATTTATGCCTATTCAACCCCCTAAAGAGTTGAGTCTAGGTCAGATTCAACTATCTCTTTGACACCAAGGCTGCAACAGTTCTAGCTGTTGAAATGGTTTAAGATATTTATCCACTCAACAGGGAGCTGCTACCACCCAGAGCAGGGCTGAAACAGCAAGACTGCATAATGTGCAAGCTCACTGGCTCCTATAATTCACGCATCTGTCATGTAACACCGGATAATGAAAGCTGCTTTTGTTGATATGTTGTGAAGCACAACAATTAAATGCTCTGGTTTACAATGTCTTGGCTGTCTGTCTGCCATGCTTGTAAGCCTCAGAAAGAGTGGTTCTCTGATGAGAGCAATAACACTTTTGTCAGCTATGCTGCCAGAGTTCATGAATTAGAGTCTATAGAACCACCATTAAGAAGCAACAGCTATTAATTAATTAAATTTACCAGGGACATACCTCAGCTTTTAGTTGTTCTCCACCAGTCATGGCTTCCAATTGCTCCATTGTCATTTCTTCCGTGATTTCTATCCCTGCCATTTTCTGCACTACCTCTTTTAAAATAAGCAAATCAAAGCTGCACAGAAAACAGAAAAGTGGAGCAAAACCGAGAACATTTGTTTAAGAAATGGAACCCATGACATTCAATACAGCATAAAGCAATACTATGATGAGCATGAAAACAAATAACATTTAATTAGTTTATGAATACGGAACTAGTATGCAGAGCGCACCAGGATTTCTTTATTGCAACTAAAAAGTTACTACTGAATAGCAACGCAGGCATTCAAAAAGCTGGATCCCAGAAACCCTTCACAACAATTTCATTGTTTTTGAAAATAATAGTGAGAGTAGTGCTATTAACTTTTAAGTAGCAACAAATTAATCATAAAGTTTATTGCTCCCTTTTGCTGTTTTACATGCTTCATATTGTATCTATCCAGTTATTTCATTTCATACTGTAGCTATCCAGTTATTTCATGAACATGGAATATTTGAAACTTTATTAAAAAATTCTAGAATAGTATACAGCCTTAGAAATTTACTGACAAAAAAAATCAGCCTGGAGAGGTTATTTGGAACTTGGAAGACTTTTTTTTTTTACTTAAAACACAGTATATGCAAAACGCTTCAATAACCATCCTGACCAGAGACCAGGCTTTACTGCTAGCCCAGAATTCTACAAGGGCAATGACATCTCCTCAACAGAACACAGTAAACTGCACCATGATCATTCAAATCATGATCTTATAAAATATTCAAAAGCAGTATTTTCCAGTAACTTCTGAAATTTGTGTGACCTACTTACAGGAAGTACAGACCTGTGCCCTCTAAATCAAAGGGCTGTATTTAAATAATTTATACTGTTGATTTTTTGTTTTGCTGCTCCAACCACAAATATGCATTCTGGCTAGGAACTAAGAAATAGCCAATTCAAATAACTGAATACTCCAGTCCTCTGAAACTGGTGACAGCAGCAAATCCATTTTAGTTTTACAATCCCAAATACTAAAATAAGTAGGGTCCTTTGGTTTGGGGTTTGTTTTTTTTCCCCCCAAAATATGTGAAGTCTTAATTCTAGGGAAAGACAAGAAGCATTACTTACCCTTCCTCTGTGGCTCAATGTAATTGTACCATCATCAAAATACAAAACAAATTTGGGACAGGGGAACACATGAGACTGATTGTCTACATTGCAGGGAAGGTAAAAAAAACTACATTTCTCAACAAATACCCTAAAATACCATGCTGCATTATCTCCATTGGAGAGATATCTTTCAAGTAAGCATATCGAGATTCACAACAGAAAAAAGTTGATACTCACCTATGTGATAAAAACAACACATTAAAATTAAGTACATAAATGAAACAATAATACTAAATGATGGGAATGGAAGGACAAAAGGAAAATTCAAATTGTAAACTTTGTTTATATATATATATTTTAGTTATAATTAACATTCACCTATGAAGAAGCAATTCAACTGCCATTAAATGAACTGGACAAACTACTTAAAGCACTGTTAAAATGTTAAGAGCCATCTCTGCAAAGAAGACATTACAAGGAAAGAATAAACCAAATCGGTCACATCCTTTTATAACCATGGCTACTTATTTCTTAAACAATATACTATAATTTCTGTAAAATATTACATACTGGCAGGGTTTTCCCCTGTCTGGTTAGCTGTTAAGATAACTGTATTATAAGTTGCAGATTAAAAAAATCAGTACTTCAAAAATAACATGTCACAGCTATGCAATTAGAGGAAATATAATGTACCCTAAAGAGGATATTATTCTTCCTGCCATTTAGATTTTTTAACCTTCCTAGTATTATGGAATTTAATGACTACATGAGTAACTGCAACATCAAGCGCCCATCTATCAGCAAACATCCAAGCAAAACACTATAAAAAGTAAGTTTATAAATATCAGTTGTGCCAGACTTGCCTTTTCCCAGCTTTCAATTGGTTGGCTACATACTGAAGTAGACCAGCAAGTTCAATTGGGTATTTCCGGAAAACTGCACCACAAAAACTTGCCAGACCTGAAGCAACAAAAACAGTTGTGATTGCACCTCACAAGATACTTATCGCTACATAGGCATTAACCACCTACATGCAGAATGTCTGCAGTACATGGATTTTTGTAACACAAAGAAAAAAATCTTTTCCTATTGATTAAACTTGCCAGCTTTCTGCTTTTTTTAGAAAGTTAGCTGGCAGATCCAAGTACTGATCATAATGATCAATGCTATGGTAGGTCACAGAGCAAGTGAAGTATTTTAAACATAAATGTAATAAATGAAACAAAAATACTAACTCTGCAGCCAGCTTGAGATTGTAGTGTCATCGTGCTTCATTCTCTCCTTCTCAGGGTTTGCCAGAGCTTCAATAATACAGTCTTTGGTCGAGTTAAAGAGAACGTTTTTCTTCAGTTCGTAAACACAAAACTTACACAAACCTGTTTTTCAAGCTCAACTATTTGCAATATGTGAACATGATGTGCAAGTATAGCAAGCATGATATAGGGAATCCACTAACACAGTTTTGGTATAAAAAATAAAATTAAATTAACTTAGAAAGCAGTATTTACCTCACTCTTTACAGGATCAGTGTGCCTTCAATAACAGAGTGAAGTAGTAAAAAAAAAAAAACAAACCCTAAAAATCTTAAAATAAAGTTTAATTTGCTTAGTATGAAAGAATGAATAGAGGGTTTTGCAACCCATTAAGAGCAAACAGGTATTTGCAAATGTCATTAAAATTTCCAGCAAAAAAGCAACAAGAATAGAAAACAACAGGAGATAATATTTACTCACAGACAATAGATTTCATCTGGCTTCAACTGCAACTTTATCAGTAACTACATGTATCAATTTACATAAAAGGATACATGCCAAGACATCATAGTTCAGCGAAGTGAGGTATTTTAGTGAATCAACAACCGGAGTTATTAAGTTATCGTATTTTTGTATTTGCGATAAGATCTGGAAGTTACAAAAGACATTCAGCTGAACAGGAGCAGTATTCCTTATCATTCACACAAATCAAAACCATTTAACAGTGCTTATTAAATATTCAGAACCTACACAAAACATGCTTTGAAATGATTTTTCTGAAGGTCTTAAACCACTTTCAAAGGCAATATCAGTAATTTATCTAGTGCCTTAGAGATACCAATGAAACATGTCTCTAACATGTAAAAACAATTCTATATAATTGTTTCTTTTCAATTATCAGAGAATAAAATCGCAAAACATTTCACTCACTTTTTTCTAAGATTTCTTAAGACTCCTAAATCTTTGCAGTATGCTTCCGTTGCTACATACAGTAAGAAGACTATTATAAAAAAGAACCTAAGTCATAGAATCATAGAGTATTTAGAGTTGGAAAGGACCTTAAGATCTAGTTCCAACCTCCCTGCCATAGGCAGGGATGCCTCACACTAGAACAGGCTGCCCAAGATTCTGTCCAACCTGGCCTTGAACACTGCCAGGGATGGAGCATTTACCACTTCTTTGGGCAACCCATTTCAGTACCTCAAAGAACTTCTTCCTTATTAATCTAATTTTAGAATGTTCTCTTTGGTACATGAGATGCATGCACATGTGCGCTGCAGCATTAATTTCTTCAAGTAAAATCTAAGAACGGGTAGACTGATAACCACAAGTCACATTTGTGCATAGGGTGGAGATCCACCAACATACTTTCACACCTCTCAGCATTCTGTAGCACCAAGCAATCTTAAAAATCCTCTGCAACTTCACAGGAGTATTTCAGATTTCAAAGCTTTGCGTTTCCTTCCAACTAACCCTGGTGTACCTTCATCACATGTATTTCCAACCACCCAGAGCAACCTAATTTGAACTTGCGCTCTTCATAACCTGATGATCACCACACCCCTGTACCTCTGAGACCCACCTCAGCTATCTCAGACTAAATACTCCTATAAATGAATGTAATTTTATGTGCAGTGATTATTAAATATGACAATAGCTCTTGAAAAAACATCTCATGCCTGTGCCCTACTAAGCATATTAGCATGTTTTAAATTTTACATCAAAAATGAAAAAATTATGAAATTAGAACTGCCCTCTCACTAAGACAGCAGGTGTCTTCCTGTACTTTAATATAAATTCTTAAGATGAAATAGTATTCAAATACATATAACTACATACATAATCAAATAAAATTGTAGGATTGCTGTGGCTGAGCTTCCCAATTTGTCTTCCAGAAGGTTTCACATTTTCCTTAGTTAAACGCCTGTGAAAGGGAACATATTTTATTGGAACAGACAAGCTAAAAGAAGAAAACAACAAGTTAGTTCCAGTAAAGAAATACCGTTTATTAGTCACAGAGAATAAATACTCACTAGCAGGAGTTTAAGAGATCTAAGTAAAGAAATATTACTCTCCTGGGAATCTAAAATCTATAATCCTGCAGTTGTCCCTATACTACTATGGATGGTATTATAGTGTCAACTTTGATCACTTCGCATTCGGAAGTTGTCAGTGGAACCTCAACCACATATAAAAGTAACAAGACTTTTGAGACTTTCTGGACTTAGGAATCTCCACACCTAGAGAAAATACGTTGCACTCTGACACTTCCATAAGCAAAGCAACTTTTCAAACAGCATACCCACGGAAAAGGTTTTTAATAATTTAATGAGACATGTTTTACGCATCCTTACTGGTGACAAATTGAGTCTGTATCCTTACTTATCTGACATTTTTATCCATTAGTAGTACATTAACTACTTCACGAACAAGGATTATCGGTGAAATTACCGAATCATTAGAAAGGGAATGTATTTGTCAAGGATTTTTTTCTTCAATTGGTGCCATACAATACATTGTATCACGGTTGATAAATATTTATGTACTTAGTCAACTTACTTCATGATATATTTGGCTCGGTCTATAGTCTGAGCTTTAACTTTCACTAGAAGTGGGTGACTATTGTATGTGTCATTCTTCCATTGTCCATAAAGCCGGTACCTTGAAAGATTATAAAGGAAAAACAACCTTTAGGACTGACAATTCAGGAGACCACTTCCAAAGAATGGAAACAAATTGCTATACTCACCGGTACTGATACGGAAAAGTTTTGAACATTCCCCATAGTTCTTCAGACATGCATGCATTGCAGTCCATCAGAGAAAGAGATGGCAGTAAGACTTGATCAGTAATACTCAGCAGACAGCTAAACAGTATCTCCTGAGATAAAGACAAAAAACTCAAGGTAAGTATCAAGTAAGTACATTAGAAGCAATGCTATGCAGATAATGAAGAAACTTAACATAAGTGTTAAGTGATAAAATACAAGTTTGCCACAAGATTAAGACTTCCTAAACAAAAACAAAGCAGAACAAACAAACAAAAAAAATCTAAAAAGGACTTAAATATTTCCTATCATAAATCTTTCATTAGATAATTCATGAGCCATATATACCGTCAATATTTTGACAATATAAGATACTTAAGCAAAGTTGCTGAAGTTTCCAGTAAGTTGCACTCATATTTTCAAACCAATTAAATCATTTTAAATCTATGTACCATGGATGTGCACAAAGTGCAACAGGAGAAAATAGATTTTGGCAACTGCTTTCAATGTATTAAGGTATTTCTGCCACTACTTCCATTTTCAAAATTCGAGATTAAAGCCTGAAGGCTTTATTCATGTTCCCAAGACACAGCACCAGCTTCCATGTTTTCAATATCCTATTCTCACCCCTTCTTAAGCATTTTTCTTCCCCATGGAGCTATGTTAGAATAATGCTAGCATTGGGGGCAGAGGAGAACATTAACAAAAAAACTCAGAAGAGACTGATTTTCTCTGCAATGACTCAGGAAGGCTGGAATGATTCGTGACAAGTGAGAAATGGGAGTAATAAATAATAATGAAAGTAATAATGAAAATTGCATGAACTTCACATTGAAAACTTGCTTCTTGATTAAAAAACAAACAAAAAAAATACCAATTTGTTTTTGTAAGTTCGTTCTCAGCTGGACACTTGGGTTTCATTGTGACCAATCTTGGTAAGTCAATAAATTAGGAAATTTAGAAAGAGCTAAATTAGCCAAGAAATTAAAAATAGCCATTGTACTATTAAACACCTCTCCTACTTCTCATTTCTCTTTTCCTCTGTGCTTTTCCCCAGTAAACTCTTTAAGATACAAGGTGCCACCATGAAAAGCGTATTTAGAGAATACATAGCTGGAGGTACACCAGTGGATTCTAAGCAAATAAGAAGTAGAATGCACTGGACTGAGAGAAAAAAGATTTGAGGAACGCAGGAATAAAAAATAAAAATAGAAAAAAGGACAGGAAAACAAAACAGAAGAAAACCCTGGGTGTGACCAACCTCGGTCACAATCTCGCATAAAAGCGCCTTCCTCCAAAATAAACTCACCATTTTCTCTTTATCTTCTTGCTTGCTTCCATCAGACTGAAACTGTAACAAAAACAATCATGTTAATTGAAGCATAATTAATGGAGCAGTTATAGTTTCAGAACAAGGCTACCTCAGCAAAAGCATAAACCTGAAGGGCTACGTGCCTACTAAAAATCTAGCAGATCTGTCAGCACTGATTTTTTTAACAGAAATTTAAATAAGGGATGAAATACACTGCGAACATATATAGGGCCTTTTTACACTTTTGTTCAAAATAAGGTAATAACCAAAATAAAGGAAACTTATATAAGAAATACTGAATTTTCTTGCTGAAGAGAAGGGGAGGAAAAAAGCGCCCTAAGCATTCACCTTCTACCTAAAAACAAACCCCCCAGGACTTCCAACCCAATAATCAACAGCCACAGATTATTTTCCCCATCTTTCTTTCACAATAATACCCTCTAAAGCTTTTAGCCTTCATTACTAAATTACTTTATTTTCTCTCTCCTTGTTCCACTCCATAAAAAGCATATTTAGCTATCACACCAATAAGTGCACAATTATTTTAAAGGTACACTTGCACAGGAAAGCTGCACTGCTGCAATGTTAGTAGTCTAACTTTTAAACTACTGCACAGGTTAACTTACAGTCAAATTATCTCCAGTTATAAGTATTTCTATTGCGTGTTAAATGTAGTTTCATAACTAGAACATGCTGATGGCAATAATGCATTAAAAATAACTTTCCCTGTGTTACCTTAACCACTCTGTCACTGACGAATTTCTTCACAGTTCCAACCTAGAGCAAATAGCTAAAATGTTGCTCATTCTTGTCAGAAAAACATTAAACTATTATATTAATATATATACAGTAAAATTGCACGAGACTCCTAAATTGCATGTATCCACAGAAACAAGGGCTTTCTCACAAACCTTCAGTATTTGAACTTAATGACAAAGTAGTCTTAATAGTCTGCTGACAGCAAGAAAATCAATTACTCCCTTATGATTTCCAAATTAGCTGCACTGTCAGTGCAACATAGCATATCACTCAAATATCTATCTTCTCACAGGCCAGCAAGAAATAAGCATGCTATAAATCCAGATTATTACCCACTGGGAAATCTTATCATTCTGGATGAGAAGATGCCGAGATACTACACCTCCTACAAAGATACGGAAGTATGGAAAGATGGAAATGCTTTAAGTTATCATGGTTTTAATTACAAAGACTACTTGGAACTCAAACTTAGTGTAGCTTTTGCCACCTTATCATGGCATCTTGGAACCTGATGAGAGCAAACTCTCTTGCCAAGATCTGTGAAGTTAAACAAAAAGATCTTCAACCCCAAGAACTACTTATGTTCTTTGCTCTGTAACATCACATACAGTTGGACATGAAAGCTTTCCCTCTAGTGGTACATAAATTTTGAATCCTCTATATTTGCTAGTTGTAGCTGAAATAAAACATAAATTCAAGAAAGAAAGATATAAAACTGAAAATCCCCCCTACAGTACCATTTAGATCAACCAACCTCCCTGACTTCCAGTTTTAAGTTAAAGTAAAAAGCTAGGTAACAAAGTTATTTTTAAGTTGGGGAGCACATGTGTGCATCAGAAAAGCAGCAAAAGAAACCATTAGCCTCAGTCTGAGCTGCAGAGTATATTCTAAGGGAGTTCAGAATATAAACTGAACTTTCAGCCTTTGAAAACAGGTCCTGCTATCAACACTTCAACATATGCATAGTAAAAATACTATCAAAAGACAGCAACAGATCTCAGAATGCCATTTTATTTCTAAAGTTGGCAACTTGAGGCTTTACAGGGTGTTTCAGATCTCCACACTGAACTCATCCTTATTGGCATGCACGGATTTGTCCCTGACACAAGTGCAAGAACAGCAGCATTTTAACTGGCAGAACAGGGTGACACCCCACTAATTAAAGAGATGCAACATCTCCTGCTTCCCAAGTAACCCAACAGGTGGAATAGCAAGTACTATTTTAAATACTGGATGCATATTAGGTTATTGTTCCCCCATTGGCTACACTGTCAGTCTAATGATACAAAAGCTTCTATGCAATTACTATCAAATGTCGGTTGGGGTTTGGTTTTCTTTAAATATCCACATACAGGTAATGCTTTGAAAGATAAAGACCATAATGAAAAATTAATTATTATTAAATATTCTTGGTTCTAAACCTTAAATGCCTTAGTTTGTTCATTAAAATGGTTTATGTTTATTGATCATAAAAACAATCAGTAATTAAAGTAAGATTCTCCAAATTTGTTCTTAGTCAAAGAAATTTTCTGGTTTAGTATTTAAATATATACACTCGAGCATTTCTGAACATCAGATGAATTGGTATTTTTCAAGTTTTAACAAGCTGTTCTGTCATACCAACCTCCTTCATAAATGCTTTTCCAAGACGCACCACTTTTGCGAATAAAATGGGATCATGGGAAAGATGAGGACCAAGGTAACAAAGCATGTTGAACACTTCCTTTCTCAGGTCCTCAAAGCTGTCTGCTTGTTTTGGTGCTCTCTTGTTTGGCAAAGAGGAAATTGGTGACCCTTTAGCTCCTTTAGGTACACCAACTCTGAAAAATAAGATGTGCAGCATGTCACATGAAACAGAAGTGAAAGTTTTAGAAATGTATCAATATAGTTAGGCTTATGAGTAAATTCAGGCTTATAAACAAATAGGTTTCCCCTACACAGCAACAGAACTTTACTTTTCACTTTACCTGCGGTACAGAGGTTCAACTGTAACATGTACAAGCTGACAAAGGGCAATTGCAATAGGCTTGTGTGAAGTAGCATAAAACGGGGGCATCTGATCCATAATACTTTGTGCGTGCTGCCAGTCACCAATTTTTAATAAAGCTTCCAATAAGCCAAGCTTTTGATTATCAGGAGGCTGAAAGATAACAATGAAAGAGCTTTTCATATACTCATATAGTAGTCTCAATATTTCTCCTTAAGCATTATGCAGCTGTAATCCATAGCTAGAGAAAAAACACCCTAGTATTTTAACTACATAGTAAAATATATATATATAAAAAATAAAATTCAGCTAGGCATTCAGACAATAAGTACACTTCTAAAGCAATAATAAACCAGTCTACATAAAATCAAAGATCTGGATCAAAGAAAAAAGTTAAAAATAAAGTTCAAAACAGAAGTTTATAAAGTTGCCTGTGACATTTTGAGAAGTACATGATTAGAACATAGGTCATTCTATTGCAGTTTATTTCTTCACACGGAATTTTAAGGACAATATAAGCATTTAGGAATCCTTTGTGTTTTGTGTTGTTCTGGATTTAAAAGCACAAATTTGTCTTGGAAAGCCAGATATAAAAAAGAAAGAAAGAAAAAGAAAAAGCTCTTCTGAAACATGCTCTCCAACAGCATAAGCAGGTATGGCACATACAAGAGTCAGTCTGGAACTGCTGACCAATCTAGTCAAGCTGCTGAGTTCTGCGACTTCTCAGGTATTTCCCTATTATTTGATTATGTCAAATGCACCTTAAAATGCAAAAGTAGATCATGCATTTTCCTGTACTAAACTACTGGAGTCATGAGACAACAATAAATTTTAACCACACAAAATAAGCACTTTATGAATTTATAAAAGTCAATAATCATTAAACACTATTTATCTGGGCATTTATTCCATGATACTGTACCAAAAATTGTACATTAAAACTGGACACAAAGTGCTCAATTTAAGACTGTCAACAGATTTCACATTAGTTACTCTAACTGCTATGAATTGCACAGGGAATCACATACAAAAATACTAACACAGAAACAAGTTTTTCAAGAAACTGAGACTCTTTACACGCTTACACAATGCATGCAAAAATTGTTTCTGTTAAGCACAGCTCTCCATTTTCCCATCTCACAGGCCCAGACTTTGTTACTTGTCATTGTAATCCTTCAGAAAAATGTTGCAGTTTCTCCTACAGCTTAAGATTCCCTAGTTCTTAATTCTAAATAAGATGTTTTGAGCAGTACTTTGACTCTCAAATGAAAATGACAAAAGATGACAACAGAAAGGCTGCTAAGAGATTAAATAATTTTGGTTTTAAAGTAAGACTTGGACACACAGAAACAAATCAGACCTAGAGCAACATGAACAACACATGACACAGTAGCACCTTAAATAAAGGGTATATATTTACACATACATAGATACAGATTAAATGGAAAGCACAGCTGACAGTTACAATTTAAAATGTTCAGTTCAAACCTTTTTCTACAATGCAGCATAATCATACCAGCATTCCTAAGCCTGGCAATTCTTCATGTCCCAGTTCTTGACTGGGAGAAATAAGGAATAAACTCTCAGTAATGTGCTTATTTTTAAGAAATCAACTAGGATTATAGTATTATGGCTCCTAGAAAACACAGTTGTTAAAGATTGTGAAGTGTATCAGTGCCAAGAGATACTTAGTTTAGCTAATACAACAAAAAGGGAGGAAATAATTAACCATTGAAACAAGAACATTAAAACCTAGAGAAATACAGAACAAACCCCAAACCATGCATTTCTGCATATTCAATATAATGGAAGAGGACAGGCACAAGCCTTCCAAAAAATACACACGTGTCTGGTTTCCTTTCCAATAAAAATATTTTAAATTATTTAAAACTAAACATAATTGCTATGAAAACACTTTTACATTTATCTGAAACATTCACAGACACGCACCTTTTCGGTTTTTTCCTCCTCTTTTTCTTTTTCCTTCTCCTTTTCCTCAGTTTTTTCCGAGGATAAGACAACCATTGTAAGCTTCCTGACAATTTGCTTAGCTTCCATGATCTCTCGCTTGTGTTCCTCAACAATGGCATTATCCCCAGGAAGAAGCTAAAAAAAAAGCAAAAAACAAACCAAACATTGTATCTGAAAATTTAAGTTCTGCTACTTTGGATCACTTGAAGCCGAAGTTTGGCTTTCCTTGTTACTAGTAAAATAAACTCACTGCCTGGAAGATTCCTTCCCTTGTCACCATCATCGCAACAAAGTGGTATATAATTAAGACTATTCCAAAAATCAAGGAGTCATGAGAAGTAACACCATTCTACTTCCTCACAACCATTACCTGTGTAAGCTCTCCTTCCCCTCTCCAACTTATCATCCAGTTGTAGCTAGATAGTGACAACTGCACACATACGTGATGGTAACATTTACTAAATTCAGTGTCTTAAAACAGTGAATATTCAAAGACATAAGTTTTCACTTCCTCTTCTAAAGGGAAAAAAAAAAATATCATCACCAAAGAAAACCAGGTAACCTACTTAAACACGCATTTTGACTACGCCTTTATTTTAAAGGAATGCTATTTAAAGCTTACCAAATTTCCTACTTATCAGCAATGTGGGTTACACACATGTAACATTTGTTTCTTAAAAGCCCTCTTACTTTAAGAGATACCTAGTATGATAAAACCTCAGCAGTCTTGTACTTGAGAATGATCAGCATGAGCAATATAACCCTATACTCACAAATTAAAAGGTCAAGTTGTGAAACAGAAGGAAATCTCTTTTGCTGACAAAACTAAATATTGATTTGATTCCTAAAGTCATGCTCAAACTTTAACTGCAAGTAATCAAAACTTACTGTAGAGTTATGACCTCTTTGATACAGTAATCTTCTCCTTCGTTGATTTTAACAAGGGAAAAATTTCTACTTTTTTTTGCCACCCGAACTGACAGTAGAAAGACTAAGCATTACCTTCTTCAGAGAAGGGATAGTAGAATTCCCCAATTTCACAGAAATTCAGGGAAGAAGGAATCCCTCTTAGAAAAGTAAAAGGTTTAAAGAGCTATGCTCTTCTCATTTGAAAACATAGGTAACCTACTGATGTTCACCAATAAATACCTAGTATGTCATTTCAAGGGGCAAATCACAGGACACAATATGTACTATATGCGGCTGTGTGCATATAAACACAAACAGAGAACAATTCTTACAGGCTTGCAAGGGGAAGGGAGGGCAGGGCAGAGGTGGGGAGAACATTGCTGATACAAATGGTAATGCTGGCAGCTGCTATTGCATAGGAGCTGCACGATATATACCATTTAAGACTTCACACCTACATGCTAACAATTTTCTTGAAACTTGCATAGCAAGTTAAATTAAGCCTGAACTGAAGAGATAAAAAATGCCATTGAAAACATGCAAAGAGACAAAAACTGACCAAAAATCAACATGACAAAGGTGAACAGCATAAGTTATGCAGGGACCATTATAGCTCCAAGACTGTCAGAAAACATGCTCATACCTATAACAGGTCTGAGTTGAGACTGCACAGGCCACTCTAATTCCAAGTCTGAGCATGTCTTGTAAGATTACGAACATTCCTTAACAAACTAACATTATCATCACGCATTCCTCCCTCTACATCGATTATCTCAGACATGTACTCCTACTCCTGCTCCACCCAACATGTTCTTAGCCAAAGTACTCCTATGAAGCCAGAGACAGTTATTGACAGGTCTTATTGTGACTAATGCTACTGTCACGCAATTAATGGCATGACTACATTCCAAGTTTTCCATAGCTCATTTCATTGATTTCAGTCAAGAGTTAAGAGTCTTTAAGTATCCATGGATATTCTGAAATTAAAAAAATCACGTGTATTGTAAAGTTATTTTTACAATTGTAGCATTTTCTTTACCATCTGCCAAATTAATATGTTGCTTAGGTTGGGAAGTGCCAGACTGGAGAGGGTATCTCCCTCTGATTAAGTCTGAACATGTAATTCCATTTTCCTCTTCCAAACTAGCAAATGGCCAAAATTCTTGTAAATGGGAGTGACAGGCCTATTCAGGAATATAAGAGGGCTTTTTTTTAAAAACATCCTACTATTAAACTAAACCAAGACGGTTAGGAGCTGAGTATCCTACCACTTCTTCAGAAATTGATCTTGTAAAGCAAAACAGCCAAAGAGTCTGGTTCTTAAGGAACATTACTCACGCATTTCTCTCCTATTCAGGCAGGAGGTAAACAAAATGGAAGTTGCTACACAGATAATCCAAAGAAAGTGTATCAGCATTCATATTTCAGTGTGTGTTTATATGAATATGCAGCAGTAGAAAGTGCTGGAAATTTTAAAGGACATTAAGCATGCACATATACAAATATTGCATAGTATGCTCTGAATCTGAAGCTTTAGGGATCGGGTAAATTATCTGTTTTTTTTAGTTTTCATAGTTTTGACATTTGAAAGAGTAGCACTGTCACTTACATGAACATAAAGGTCTTCCAAATCTATGAGATTATGTTGCAGGAGGACAGCAGCAACTCTGTATAAGGAAGAAGGCGTCTCACCACTTGGATCCTAAAAAGGACAAGATTGCAAAGTTAAGAAAAAAACCAGCAGTCAGATGACTGCAGGTCATGAAACAGAAAAGAAACTACTCAAAGTGTAGTTAAAAAATATATTAACTCATAGTCTTCCTTGTTATCATGTAGCTGCTATTACTCCAAAGGCACTAGACTTAATTGTGATACACAATCAGAATGTTCAGAAATAGATGTTCAACTACCTTCACATCTTATGGTGCTTGTATGCAATTCCTAAACATACATAAAAAAACCTCTTGAATATTTTAACAAGGATCAGCCATGACTCCCTTGCAAACACGCTTTTCATTTCTGGGGACAAGCCTTTTGCTTATAAGGTACAATATCTTCATTAATGCCAGTACTTATATAACTATACAAGCTATCTTGGAGAATCCTAAGCATTCTCCTGTAAAGTACATTATAGATTTCCACTCAAACCATAAAATTATTGCTTTCAATACTGGAATTTTGCACCTTAGAAAATAATTTTCATGTTAAAAAGTCTGCAGCCAAAATATGTTATCACTGACTGCAGTTCAACACTGAATATAACCAACCATGAAAACCAAAAACTGGGAACAGAGATACATTACCTGATAAAATTTGAATTTGAACCCAAGGATATGGCATAGAGTTTGAGGTTCACACATGTACATGTAAGATTCTATCAGTGGTACAAAGAAGTCATCATACTCGGGCCTGCACTCATAAACCTCTAGGATAATATCCAAAACTCTGTTAGGATCAAGGTTAAAACATCCTAGAGGAGAAAAACAGAGCATAAAAGCTTAACATTGCTATATTTCATGTTCATTCTGTTACTAAACCACAAATATATTAAAGTTAATTCTTTTCAGTTAAAACAGAGCCTGGAATTATCCACATTAAAATAATCTGGACCATCTGTAACTATAACATTGACCACTTTGACTTATACTGAATATTGCGCTAAGCAAAGATAATAAACAGGATGTTCAATTCAGTTTACAGAAATAGAAATTGCCACCTTAATGCAAACACTTAAAAAGTAAAAACTCAACCTCAGTAATACCACAGTGCCAGCAAAAGGCACAGGTTTCTGCCTCTTACCTTGTGCTGCCACACATATTCATGCGGTTGTACACATCAGATAGCTAGAAATTATTTTACACCTCAGAAGTTGTTATAGTTTGAGGTAGAGCCTGATCCACCAGGTCATACTGTCCTGTGAATTCAGTGTTATTGCTAGTGTTAGGGAGAATGGTTTGTTTATTCTGAGGAGAGCAAAGGCAAGGATACAGATCAGGTAAGCCAACGTTGTAATTATACCTGTAGTTTACTATAGAAACTTTTCTACCAGAAGTCCAGGAGACATCCTCAAGACAGAAATATTACTTAGATCAAAAGAATCCACATCTAGACTATTTTTTTCATTGTGCCATAAGAAGTTTTTTCCAGGCATATTCACTATGCAGATATATAATTGCATCGGTCTTTCCTTCCCAAAAGCCATTTCGACTACACCAGGACCTACTGCAACTCAGTACTTTAAAAGAATTGACAATTTAGGGGAAGTATATTTGCAATTCCTAAAATTCCAGAATACAGAAAAATGCTTTGCTACAGAATTTCTCAAACTGAGTATTTTTTACTGTAGTAACTAGCAAAAGTATCCTCTTCTCTAGCTCTCCTCCAAAATAAATAGTATTATTACAGTCTCAGGCAAAGTTCTGTGACAGATGAGAAATTATCTTTTATTAAATAGTAGCACCGCCTTTGAATGTTACTGCACTGGCACCACATGAAATAGGATCTCATGAAAACATCAATATATTGTATAAAATTCTTTATTTAAAGAGGAAAGGTAAAACATGGGCCGTAACATGTGTTTCCTGGTTTTAATGTATTACACACTTTGTTACATTCTCGCCAAGTCTCAACTTAGTAAATGTTCTTCCTTTATTTAATTTTGTTTGTGATTAGTCTATATTTCTACTTCTCATTTCTTTTTATAGTGAATAACTCAATTCAACTTCTTGAAGACTGAAAGAATATTCGTGCACTGAGCCAAGTACTTTTAACAGCAAAAAGCATTACTTTGTTACACTGCAATCTGCCTGCTAGGAGATGGCAAACTCATCCACAAAAAATACTGAACCAAAATCACAACATACACATTTGAGGCTGCATATAAAATCAGTATCTAAAATAACTACACAACATTCCCAAAATTAACTTTGCCACAGAAACAGGAACTTTCAAATGTCATAATTCTGCCCAAGGTGATCTATAAATACATGTTACTATCATACTACATGTTCATGTGACATACTACTTGATCCACAGATTATCTCAAAAAGTAGTCTAAAGTCATTTTCCGTAAGAAAAAGTCATAAGATCATGTAAGAAAACCACTGCCCAAATTCCTTACCTATTAAAGATTTGATATTTTCAAGGATTAGCTCACTAGTGATATTTCCAGATAAGTCTTGCCCCAGTTCTGCAATCAGCTTTGCATAACCTTCATTCTCCTCTCTCAATAAATTAAACTTCTGTTGCTTGTAACTGCAAATAAACAGAAATTAAACACTATTATGTACCATATGCCTAGTGAAGCTTATTTATGATCTTAACATTAAATTTGTTGCACAAAATGCTAATTTTGAACACATTAAGAACTTGTGATTTACATGAGCTATTGCAAAAATTATAGAATGCAGTACAAAGAATACCTGTGAGGTAGTCAGTAGTCTCCAAACAAATTCAGCTCTTCTATTTCAAATGCAGACGATTTAAAAGCAAAATCATGCTTATACTTGTAAAGCTTGTTCTTAGACACTATGCTGGAGAACTGCTCTGTAGCACTTAAAGACCTGGTCTAGTTTTAAGAGGTGTTCTTTAGATCAAAACATTGTCACACACAGAAAACTAACATACACCACAAAAACGTATCCTGTGTTGCCACAACATAACATTTGTTTACTTATGAAAACAAATGCCTATGCTTAACTGACAGAACAGCAGTGATTAATTTTCTCATACTTTCAAGTTCCCATTTATCACAAATAAAATTAAATATTTAATCTGCATACAGAATCACAATAGCAATAGGTGACATTTAAAAAAATTTTACATTTCTCAAGAGTCTGAAAATGCAGAGGGCTAATAAGGTTCTTCTGCCAATGACGAGTTTAAGTGTAACAAAACACATTTCCTATAATTACCCTTGACCCTCCTCACCCACTCCCCAAGCAACCCTCGCCCCGTAACTTACAATAGTTTTGTCTTTATTTTAACTGATTTCTGATTGAACTGCTGCGACTGCTTGATAAGTCCTAATGACTCCAGTGTCTCTGGATCTAAACGTTCCTTTAGGACAGTGTCAGATACAAGATACTAAAAAACATCAAAAACATACAAGTTTCTCAATTACAAAGACCTAGAAACCATATGATTATTACTCGTGCTATATATGTATTCTCACTACAACCACCAAGTTCAAATGTCATGATACACCATCATGCTACATGCATTTTGCTTCAAACACAGAAGTAGACAAAATTGAGAAACTATTCAACTGAAATCGGAATGTTACAGTGGTAGATTTTTACATACCAGAGCACCTTGAAGAAACAAGCCCTAGGGTCTAACTGCTGGTAACAAAGTATATATTGCATAGCATCTATTACCAACAGCTGCATATTTACAAAGCTTGTACCCACTCTCTCCCATATTCTGGGAGAAAATATTTTCATATGCTGAATTTTGATAAAAATCAAGCTCACTCCACACGCTTAGGAACACCACTTCTAAAGACAGAGGAGGCTGCATAAAGGAGAAGTCAAATTCAAAACATACTTCAGAAGCAAAATTTCTGTTGAACTGACAAGGAAAAAATTCTTTCATAACTCATCAAAGAATCCAAAAGACAATTATACTATAGTACTCTACCATAACACTTTGAAGATGCATTTTTAAATTAGTTGGGAATTTACTTTCTAGCAGTCTTTTCCTCAAAAAAGAGCAAACATCAAAACTTCTTTTTCTTGTTGGATTTTGGCATATACTTTTACCAAAAGACTTTCTACATGCAACTTACCAAACAGGCTAATACCAGCTGGGTAAAGTGATCTCTCTTACTTTTTTCTTCTAAACAGCTTGTTTCAATATCTAGTGTAAAAGAAGATGGAAAAAAGACATCATTACTTGTAGAACTTGCAAGAGTTTATTCTTGTTATTACTATTCCAATAAATACTACTGATAACAGTGTGAAACATCTTGTTCATAACATACTAGCTTCTTGCCACTTTCTGGCTACTCATCTACCTTGAAGTCTATATTAATACTTTGATGAGAATTCTCACACATCCACAAGTCTCATGAAAAGGTAAAACAGAAACCAGAGGAATGCCATAATTATTTTTCCTGCCCTTCTCTCTGTTACAGTAAGTTAAGGACAAGCATTTAAGAACCAATAATAAGCATGAAAGAAGAGAAAGATGAATTGCTGTGTCTTCAGAGTAACAACCATTTACTGCCTGGTCTGCAGTCTTTTACTAGATATGATTCTGCATTTCCATTCTTTTCTTTTGCATCATCAGCTACTGAATGAAATTCATAAACTCACTTCTATGGGACGCTAGCCCATAAAACAATGGCCAAGGAAGCACACCCAGCTAAAGCAGTTTAAAAAAAGCACATCATTACAGGACTTGAGGAGCTGCAAAAGGAGTGAAGAACTCAAGAATGCAGTCATTACAAAAACAAACAAAAAGCACAAAAGACACACACAGCTTAAAAAACAAGTGTAATGCAGTGAATATCACATTACAAAAACTAATTATTATCAAAAGATGATACAAGTACACAGAATGAACATTTATGAAACAAAGTCAATGTAATTTTGATATCACATGCAGCCACAGCACAGTACAGCACAGCCACGCTCCTCCTGACTAGGGAACAAACCGGGATCTGTGAGGAGCAGTGGCAAAAGGATTTGCTGTATTTTGTTAGAGACACACAGAACAAGACAAAAAGTGCAAGCATTTGAAAATCTGATCTGGGAAAAAATGCAGGATTAAATTGCTAAAAACATGAGAAAAACAGCTTTGGATCAACATTATTCTCATAATCCAGAAATTATTACCAGAATAAGAAGTAAACACCTTTAAAGCCTGCTCAGTTGGCAGATAGTTACTTGGCAAATTATACCATTTGCCTTTAGATTTCTGAATAATTAGTGCAAGCTCTGTTTCATCAGTGGTGACGGTACAGATAAAAATATTTACAGAACCCATTCTGAGAATAGAAGATCTACCTATCAGTAAGTCAGCTTTCATTTTAAATACTTATAATAACAATGCTAAGTCACTGAGTCCATTAAACCAACATCCAACATGCTTACAAGCTAGCTCATTTAACTATTCTTAGCAGATCAACTTCCACTGCCTTTAATAGGTAAACTTCTAGAAACTGTAACAGAACACAGAAGGAACAGACAACATTAAGAACCAAGATACAGATACACTGAGGAAGAGCCAACACATATCTTGTAAAGAAGCCGTGCTTTATGGATTTAATCAAATCTCCTGAAGAATTTAACAAGCAAATGTACAAAGCATATATCTGTCTCAATGCTGAAAGGAAGGGAACCCAGCTCACCTAATATGCAGAATACATCAGCTAGGATGGAAGGCATGTCTTCCCGAAATTCCTGAAAAAAGAAAGATCCCACTTAATTGGTACAGAAATTCCAATATCACTTTTAAACAATTCTTATTTCATTACATAAAACACAACTTCATCATACTAGAAGTTCAGATTAATAATGTACATCACTGGTAATTATATTAATTATTAATAATTCAGATCAATTAATAATGAAGAGGCTGAATTATTGAGTAATATCTAGCATAAGTGCTTTAGTAATTATTGGTATGTAATGAAGTAACATAACCTTTTAATGTGATTTCTAAGAGCATCTAGTGGCCAGGGACAAACTCCTCAAGTTACTTCCTGTTTCTCTAGCACAAGGGAACTCCCTGTCTGAAGAGCAGCACCTCCCTGTACAGCAAACTACATCTTCTCAGGCACCAAACAAACTGTGATTTCCTACCATGACTAAAGATCAAACATTATCAAATGCTGCCCCCACACTAACATGCCCTGCAGCCTTCACTTCTCCCAAACCCAGTGAAGAAGTTTAAAAACCTAAAATGCTTATCTTAGAACAATTACTGCAAAATGTATATTCTTAATGTTCTATACACGTCAAAACAGCAATCTCTGAACTTCCAAAGAATAAATTATTTTTAGAAGGTGTTTTGCTTATTTCTTTTCCCATTTTTTTTTTTTTTAGGAACACCAACATTTGGTAATCCTGGAAGTTGAGAGGAAGATATTCTTTTCCTTACCTTCTCTATTTATTCAAAGCATTGTAAGAAAAAACTTTTTCAAACACAAAAAAATAAGTGCAATGCATTATTTCAGAGGCAGTCACAGGTCTCTGACATCTCAACAGTAAAATGGCAGATGCGCATTGTTACACTGCAAGATGTAAAAAACCAGTAGGTGGCATTACAGACATGCCGCAAAAGCAAATGAAATCTATTTTTAGCATGCTAAAGACTTCAGACTTTATCTGCCCTGGAAAGATTACTTAATTTTTAATTTCTGCTAAAATGGATCTAACCCTCAGCACAAAAAGGAGGGAAAAAACTGACAGATTACATTTATTTCAAGTGCACACAAATGAAGAAAGGACAAAACCCACTTTTTAGACATGGAAAAACAAGTCTGTTGAGTATTATCCTGCTGGATTTTTATTCAGACTCTTATAACAAATTAAAAATTTAGGAAGTAAGCAATTATTACAAACAGATACCTACTATGACATCACCAAGAACATTAGAAGCTTGATCATGCTTTAAGTTTCCTCTGACGACATGGTATGCAAGCTCATACAGAGCTTGCTGGATATCTGTTGAAAGAAAACAGATGATTAAGGAACGTATTAGGTAATCCTTGGTCTAACTTAACGCAACGTTTACAACAATGCTGTAGACTTCAGACACCCTGAAAGTAGAGAGAATGTACTTTTCTTACCAGTGAGAAGGGGATTACTTCCTTACTGCTGATAGATTAAATTTGAGCATCAGTATCTAAGGTTTCATTCAAGCAGATAGTAAGAGATGATCCACTGTCCCTAGAGAGCTTATGGAACAGTAAAATGGGATGAAAAACTAGCCCTGCATATAACTTGAGTGTTAGCAGTTGCTTAACAGACACCTTTCCCTTGTAATTCAAAAAATTAATATATTACACATCTTTTGTGTGTGTGTATCTAATACATAGACAACATTCCAGTATTTTTTCCTAATCATCTCTCATCACAGATATGCTTTCAAAAACCATTCCTCTAGGAGAAAGTAATATTCAATTGGAGAAAAAATGCTTAACAAGGATTTTAATTGTTTTAAGGAAAGTCTCCCATGACTGAAGAACGCTGATTTACAGAAGCTTATATTAAGCTGAAATATGAAACAGAGGTACTGCATTTGAGAAAAAACATGCAATGTTAAACGTAGTGACTGCAAAACCAACTATGGTAAACTTGTAAGGAATTGTTCTTAAATAATACACCACAGCTCTGCTATCCTTTTTAGTTTATGAAAAATAATAAGATCTCATAATTTCACCTTTCACATGTACCATGTGGTTCACTGAATAAACATACACAATGGGTATACAAGTTACAGATTTTAATGGCCTAAACCAAGTACTCAATAACTTGGTAACTGCAGACCTCTGCAGCTTCATTAAAAGCTTCTTTTAAATAAACAGGTTAATTTTACTTTTTACAGTACTTTTGCCAAAAGAACACTGATTGCGAGAGCAGGACTGGTTTAGACATCAATTCTATGCACAGCTCTACTGCTTTAAAGGCCAGTTCAAGAGTTGGTGACAGTGGTGCAGTATCCAATTTAATAATTAATGAAGAATCCAAACCAGCCGTAAGTGCAGCCTCAGATGCCACCTCCACGTGGTTCTCCACATCGTGGAGAAGTTGTTAACACAGGTACATGGCCAGATCTGACCTGTCTCCATAAACTTGTGGTACCCTGGACTTCAGTAAACGTTTTTCTGGAAAAGGGCAGAAATGCAACTGCCAGCACAGTTTTCAGAACTGGATCCAGGTCACACGGACTCAAAGAAATTCTTACCAGTCAGTATCTCTGGACCTCACTCCAGATTATCCGTATTGTCAGGTTTTTATCCAATCACCAGAAGCACTTCAACTACTCAATGATCTTAAGGGTCTTTTCCAACCTAAATGATTCTATGATGATTCTATTTCTACTGTCTATTAATTCCTCCAATATAGCCACTGCACATATCTATCTAGTCATTCCCATGGGATATTTTAGATCCTGACAGCAAGGACAAAGAAAGAAAAAAATCAGCACATAGAAATTATCAATCTCTTTCTAGAACAGAGAACAACTGGTGACCTTTCTTCACAAACTTTGGGAACAAAGACTTTGCTTTGCTGAAAAATAAATTCTTTCTACTTAACAGTATTACTTATAATTTACATTGAAACATTTTATCTTTTCTGCTATTATAATTGTCCATTATGATTATTTTAGCAAGAACCCAAAAAAACATCTAAACAGCATAGCACATCTGTGGTCTCAGTCATATGGAAGGATTTTTCCAACAGAATGTGCCAAGCAAACATTTTTCTTTAAACACTAAAGATTTCATAAAGTGAAAATTCAAACTTAATGACAGCAGTGATTTTCACTAAAAAAGGAGAAAAAGTCTGTAACTCAGGTGCTGTTATCAAAATTACTTTCTGCAGTATATAATCACACCTGAATACATTAGAGTTCGTATATTTAACTTTCAGAATAAAATCCAGTTTTATGTTGAGCTTGCAAAATGGAATTCCATTTTCTACAGCACAGACCAAATACTGGATCTTACCATTACTTACTACCACATAAGAAATCTCTCACCTGGGCATCTGAAGACAAAATGAGTTGTGGATGTTTGTACTGCCTTGCAATTTGCAGCATTCACCTGTAGCATACACTAATAGTCACCATATAGTAATGCTTCAGGCAGACACACATAGTACTACCAGCAACCGCTTCCAGGCTTTTTAGTTAATCAAAAGCAACCAAAAAAACCCACCCAACTTACCTCTGAAACCCATAGAATCATGGCTTTTGTTTTCACTGACTGCACGACATAACTGCACGCTGCAATAAAAAACACAGAAAAAAAACTTTAAAAGTTGGATATTAGCCTACACACATAAATGTCTGGGGCTCACTTTTTGTTGTTCTGGCTAAAATAACTTTCAATTTGGGCAGCTTAAATGACCAACCACATTTTGATTTTCATACAGTAAACACTAATTCACAGAAGTGAGAGCAAAGAAATACAAGACTCCCAACAGATCTCATACATATATATCATATACTTAGGAAAAAAAATCTTCCTAATATTATACACAGCAAAACAAGAACATTCTAGTACACGAAAGGCAATTCTAGTACATGAAAGGAAGCACAGATGTGCTAGCATTAGCCTACTGTTGCTAACTAGCGAAGAAATGCTTCTCACAGAAATACCATGGCTATGATTACTTTCAAACTCTGGCCTGTAAAAACATTTAACATTAAGTAGGTGCATGATCTCCTGATGCAATGTTTTATCAACGGTAAGGCAGAATTTTATCTAACCTAGGGACAGCTAAGATAAACTAAGTCATTAAGGTAACCCATATAGGAAGCAAAGACCTGCCATGTTACATTGCCTTTAGTCACCCCTGAGGCTCCCCCAACCAAATTAGTTCACTGAATACCATACAGACTGTTTCATGAAATTATAGTTCTGTATGTTATAAAATAAATGCTCAAAGAGGAGGCTTCTCCACTACACTGACAGCTTAGAAAGACATGCTTCCAAGTTATAAGGATTTTCCCCTCTCCTCTGCCATTACTGTCACCCCAATGAAGACTCAAAAGCAGCTTCACATTTAAAAGCAACAGTATATTAAAAAAGCAGCAATTTACCTAGATTTATAACTAATACCAAAGAATATCTTAAGAATTTTCTTCATACTTGAAAATCTTCAACCAAAAGTTTCATATCTTTTTCATCAAGAAAGATTTGTGTAGAAACTGAAGACAGTTCTCAAAGCTGCACTGTATTTACATAAGATGGCAAGACTACAATTTCCTGTGGAAGTGATTTTGAAGCATGCTCTCAAGTAAGGTTTACCATGAAAAATAAGTAGTAGGAAAAGATTCTGTAGCAATCTATTACTCATTCTATTTGCATCCTACCCAGAGATTATTACCTCTCCAGCAGGACTGTTCCAGTAATCAAAGGATTATAATTAGCAAATACAAGGTATAAGCACCCTACAATGACAACTGGAAAACGGGCAGTTTCACATACAGTGGAATCAGCAGAAACGTGCAAGCTCAGCAAAAAGCAATTGAAGGGCTAAGATGCTCTAAATGCTATTGAAGAAAACACAACATGTTTGGCAATAACCAGAAAAGAGACAGCAAAATAGGGAAATAGGTAATCTATTTTCTTTTTCATGAACAGTATTTTAAAGAAGCAATTGATTTTCCCCCCACTGTCCCCAAAGAGCACATCAGTTTGAACCAAGTCAGATTTTATTAAATATTAATTATTACTTCTCTATAACGATGTTACCCTGTAAGTACTTATTTCTAAGGTCTGTATACAAATAACAGTCATGTGAAATATCTGATTCCAAAAATTTATCTACTCAGATGCACGCTTTGACCCCTGTGCCATGACGTGCTATCATTAGCTAGATTACATGAGCAACAACCCTGTCTGCTTGAGCTGAAGCCTTCACTTAACTACATCCTAATACAAAATAAGTTTTAACCTCTTCCAATTCCCTTTCCAGCAATACTAAAGTAATACTATCAACTTCACGTACCTTTAAGACGTACATTTGACTGATAAATGTAACAAGAAACCCTATTTAAGATAAGTCTAAAAACAACTTGCTTTGCATTTGTAATTAACAGCCCCCCCCCCCCCCCCCCCCCCCCCCCCCCCCCCCCGAATTATTAAAAGGGGGGGCAGGAGAGGTCAAAATATTAATTTTGTGGAAGTCTACATGGGAAAATATTGGTAGTAAAAAAGAGGATGCTGGTATAACTCTTTGGATCTAAATTAGTAATTCTCCTTAGATTCTTTCACACAGGTATGCTGTCTCCAAAGGAGGATGACCCTTTCTGAAGGTGCTGTCAGGCAGCACAGCTGAGCTGATTTAATTAATGGCTTCTTGCTGCAGAAATGGGACACATTCATCAACACTTCTTCCCTTCTTGGCTGACCTGTTCTAACCCTTATGTCAATTAAATCAGCTAAACTGACAAACTTGGTCAAAAACAAGTGTTCTACCAACTTCACACGTTGAAACAAGCTTACCAGGAGGCCAGATAAGCACCAGAGCAGAGAGCACCCTGGTGAATGAAGACAAGGCAGAAGTCCTCCCTTACAGTACCAACAAGCTATGAGATTACTTCATCTAGTCTTAATTAAGCACATCATAAATTAAAGTCATAATACTTGCATGTTCACAAGAATAAAAATGTCAGTATTAGGAAGATTAATCAATTCACAAAGAAAGCCACACCAATATTTTCCCCCTTAAGTGGCACCCAGAACAATGGAAACTTATCAGGTCCACTTTTCAATTCAACAGACCCAGTCACCCCATTTGAAACTTTCATTAATCTTGTAGAGTTCGTTGCTGCAAGCTTCAGACAGAGTCCTCTCCTACTCTAGTAAAACCTGTATCACTTCATCCAAAGATAAAGTGTGTAATACATGTAAAATACAACTTAAAAAAAATATGATAACCTAGAAAAAAATAATTATTAAAAAAATAGAGAATACTTTCTGACAACCAAAGTTTCAAAATTATTTTTTTTTGGACTAAGATGGGAGAGATTTGCTTCAACAACAAATTCTGAAGCAACGTTTTTGCAAGAAAGAGCCAACAACTGAACCTAACCCTACTTGTTCATACACAATATCCTATATCCTCCATTACACTCCCACACACATAGCATATGCCAGTAATTATCACAAAGGGCATGTGCCTGCAAACATTTAACTATATGCATAATTCAACCGTGTGTAGTTCCCTACTTGAGGTGAAGTACAAATCAATTAGCAGCCAGGATGGCAAAAGTGCAACTAAACTCTGATTTCCTGACTCTCAGGCCTTTAACTCAACACCGTGACATTCCTTGTACAAGTAAAGTAGCATGCAGAGACTGCTTGAAAGATCGAGTCCCAAAAACTCACATTCACAGAATATTAAGCTTTTTCAGTTTATTTTGAAGCATAACATACCACATCAACTGCCAGCAAAGAACATTATTAGTCCTACTTCCCCACTAAAGAGTTCTCAATGTTAAATCTACCACAGAACAAGGTATCAGTCAAACGGTAAGTGCTTGTCATTGTGAGCATACTAGAAATGTCTATATGGGCTGCAGTCATAGACTAGCATCTTATTGTGGAAGACCCTATATATAACAACATAATTTCACAATAGAGGACAGCATATGTACATGCAAATAGGTATAAAAGGAGTTTAGACTGATTAGCACAATAAGCAGTCACACAGATTCCAACAATCTCTACACAATATCTTTACTGTGATATCATGGTACCACAATATTTTGCAGTAGCAAAATAAATGCACATAATTTAATAAATTGTGTTTAGACAGAGATGGGTCTGAAAAAATAAAAAATGAGAAATGACCACATCTCCACCAATTTATAGTTTTGGCAGCTAAGAACACTTGAAACTACAACATGATGTACATTTATGTATTTGTATTAGATATTACTGCACATCAGTAGCTGAATTAATTAAAATCACAGCATGTACAATTTTAACAAGGTCTCTGAACAATTTCTACTAAGTCAATGCTCACTGTTACCCAAGCTCAATGATGCTGCCTTATTAATATTATGACACCCTTAAGACGTGTACAAAATTCTTACCTTCTGGGTTTTGGATATTACTGTTATATCATAACAAACGGACCGTATCAGCAAAAATAAAGTTCATTATTTTTCACAGTAAAAGATTTAAAACCAACTTCCTTACTGGATTTCTTTTAAAAAATCCTAGCAAACTTTTTCTCCTCTCCCACTGACTACAGCAACATTACAAATCCTGTTTGCTTTCAAGCATAAGCAGACCACTACCATAGCACTCAAAAAAAAACCCAACATGCAGGGATCATCTTAAACATCCATTATTAATCACAGTAGAGACTGAACTGCCAACTAAAACCAAACCATTTACTTCTTTCAAAACAGTTTCACATTCCCCCAAAACATGAAACTGCATTTTAAGTGACTAGAAACTGCTAAAATACTACCTCTGGCTGATCTAGTGAGATCACATAAGCCATTTCATACTCCAGGAAATCTTTTTCTTTTTTTTCACTGCAAGACCTAATCTTTTTTTTCTGCTAATTATGAGGTTTGGGTGGGTTTTTTTTCCTGTAATCCTCACTTTTCAACAAAGTTGGTATTTGTCTCCCTGTGAAGAAGCCCACCGCTTTGTTTAAAAACAAAACAACCCCCTCCACACAAGAGCGTATGTTCTCTGACTTCATGCAGGGGCTTTAGCAAACCAGGCTTCCATAGAGTAAAACTTCTGTAAATTCTGTATTTGCTAGAAATGTCAGTTTTGTCCTTTCGCAGTGTCCTTTCCCTCACAACTTTTCTAACTTATTTACCAATTAACACATTGTCCCACTTTTGGACCACAAGCCCTAAACACCGCAGTTGTGGCCTAGACAATTTATAATCCTGGGCCTATCTATATTAGATGAATAATTCAAGAAAAATAAAAAATACCATTACAATTGTACAACTCTTAGTTTAAGTAACATTTACAAATATTTCATGAGTTTCCTTTTGTAAAGAGAGCACCGTGATTTTACTTTCCACCAGTAAAACAGGAGATAGAAAATCTTGGAAAAAGAAACAAAGTTATGCACTGAAGATTTATCCCAAAAAAATAGTTTCCCACAAAGTTCTCTAGATTTAGGCTGCAGATACACTGCTTTGCATCTAGGAAGGAAGTCTGTACATATTCCAGATGCTTCTAAAGTTACCACTGCAAAATCCAACAACTGTTATCCAGGCACAATCACATTTCTTCTAAAATGTATGGCCTCTTTTGCAAGCTACTTTAAATCATGCTTGGAACTGCATTTAAGCAGTATTCCCATTGAAATATAAATGCCACAGACACAGGAATTTAGCCTACTGCTTTGTTTTATTGGTCCCACAGCAGATTAAAACTTTCTTCCCATTACAGTTAAGAACTGCTCTAAGAGGAGGGGAGAAACGTAAAATACTAGCATGGTCAAAAGCCAATGTAACTTGCCTGTTACACAGTTAAAAGTCGCAAGAATTCAATGCAAACTATGCAGCTGCCATTATATGATCAACTATGAAATTTCTGTTCTCGTGCATACACCATGCAATCTCAGTGGTCGTAACAGCGCAAGTTACAAAAACCATAATCATATGTGACTAATTCAGTTAAAAATTTCTTAATGGGCATTACAGAAAAGCTAGTCGTGCATCTACGTGTATATAAAGTTACGTATAAGACAATCTGTTTTATTATAGTTATTTGTGCACTTCTGTAAGGTATCTGTATACATCTGTATGTTTCCTCGTTTGTTATTGACACAGAAATTCCTAAATACTCACATTCAATAAAAAGTCTTTTATTGAATAAATATTGCCATGCCAGATGCAAATTCAGTTACTGTCATAAAATCTTAAATAGGAGATTAAAAACAAAGCAATGCAAACCTCAGCATGGTTTGGAGGATGGCTCCTGAACACTTCTATTATTGTTGCAAACGCAGATACAAAAGAGATTTTCATCGGCCTTGTATCACATTAAAACACGTTAACCTTACATGTTACTGTAATGGTTCTAGCACAACTGAAAAGTCAAAAAGGGCATGTCTGTAAAGGGGGGCTCCTTCACTACAAAATGGAAGTTCTGGGAAGAACTGCGTTTTGTGCACGGAGCCTCTACAGCCTCTTCTCTACTCACTACCTCTTTCTTTCTTCATGTAGAGGGAAGATCACTACCACAGCTGCACAACCTTTTAAAACAGGTGAACAAAATAAAATAACAAAATATGAGCACCAAGAAGCATTTCTCAAAATGATTCCCCAACCACCCATATTTGAAACTGTAGGGTTTTTAACTACAACAAAGGAACATGGAATGGAACAACTCCCTAAACAGAGGGACTACTGAAACACACCACAGTTAATGAACCTGCTAAGTTAAAAGTGCTTAAAACAGATACACAGAAGGCCCCAAAAGGGAAAGCTTTTAGCACACCTGGATTGATTTGTGAAGCTATAACCAGACCCCTCAGTGCACAAAGATTACCTTCCAGGGCAAACAGGAACGACTAGGATCCTACCTTGCCAGAATGAAAGAATAACGTGCTAGTACTCACACAATAAGTATAAAAGTGAGAACGGGGGCTGGGACCTCTGCTAGAAAGGTCTGAATCGCGGAGCTAGCGAAATAAAAACAAGTCACGCTTCATGTTACCCCGGGTGGGTAGCTAAAGAGGAGTCCAACGCCCGATAAACCTGACCCAGAGCCGGGAAGGGGACGATCGGGGCGCAATCAACGGGCGCCAGGACAGCAGGCCCAGCTACGGGGGACGAGCTTCGGCGGAGGTCGTTAGCAACCGACAAAGAAGGCCGAGCCGCATAAGAGAGGGCCTAAGACTTCCGCCCGACCCGGGTTTCGACCCTCAGCCCCGACAGCAAGGACGCAGCCCCAAGCAACGACCTCCCCGCCCGATCCTACCTCTTCGCCGCCCCCCCCCCACCAGCCTCCCTCGGCCAGTGAGGCCCAGGCTCCCCCTTGCTCCCGCAGGTCAGCGGCCTGCGGAGCCCCATCACCCCTCCCGCACTACAGCCCCACACTCACAACTCGTTCTTGCCCCCTTTCTCCCAGTTCTTTATCCACTCGGCAGGGAGCAGCGCCGCCATCTTCCCCGTGTGGCGCCGAGAGCCCGGATGGTGGAGCCGTGAGCCCGGGTCAGAGGGGACGCAACAGCTCGCGAGGCACGACGGGACGCGAACGCGCCGTACCCTGGGAGACGACGGGCGACGTTCCACTGCGCATGCGCCTCGGAACCATCTAAAGCCCGCCGTGCGGACAGCCCGCCTAAGCAGCGCGGGCCCGCCTCGGTTGGCACCCGGATAGCGGCTCTGGTCGTGCGACGTCCCGCGGAGCCCCTCGGGGCACCGGGAGCCGCGGATGGGGGCAGCCCGACCTGCGGGTGAAGCTGCTGAGGTCGGGGGAACCTCCCCAGTCACGTTAGGCAGCTCCCTTCAGGTAGATAAAAACGCTGTGAGCAGAGGTTTCTACACCTGTGAAAACGGTTCAGGAAATACGCTGAGGGAGCTTGAGTGTGTTTAGATGTGTTTAACGCATATGTGACACGAAGCATGGGTTTTATTTCAGTCCATTAGAAGGACGTTCATTGACAGTTAACAGTTAAAAACCAACCCATTACTGTTTGACCCCTGAGCTTGTGATCCAGATTCCATCGCTGTTGTTTGAAAGCAGCAAGAGCTTTTAAAAACTAAAACCGGATTTTATAATAGGGATAAAGCTCTGTGCTTTCTCCAAAACTATGTGCCACTTTGCATCACTGTTCCCCAAAAAACACCCCAAAAATGTGAGCTGCATGAACCCTGCAGCTGAAGAACCTCTGTGTAGGTCTGAGTTGGCCGGGATCACAAGCTGTGATCTCTGTGTGTCCTCTGTTCATCCACTGCCTTTGAATAACACAAAGCTGAAAACACACCAACTCGTTCGGATGTTGCCTTCCCGCATAAGCAACGTCCTCTAATTCACAGGGACCCAAAGCATGGCAGCATGGAAGCAGCACGTAGCTTCATGCGGGTGTGTGAGCAGCACAAGTGTTGCAGTAACTGAGCAACAGAGCTAATACACCAAACCACAACTTAAAGATGGGAATTTAAAAGGAGTAAAGGCAATGGTGTGATTTGCAGAACATCTTGCCCCTGAAACTCCCCTGGCCCTCACTAGGCCTTCAGGGTTATTTTGTTATCCAAGTTCTGCATATTTGGAAAGCGTTAAGCGAAGTGGTGCAGGGCGAGGGGGTGACACACATATGTTCCGTTGTAAGTAACTGGACGTACAAAATATACAACTCTAGTACTTTAACATTCTGAGACCCATCTGTGATGATGAACCACCTCAGCACCCGTTGTGAACCCTGTGCAAGGCAGAGTGGTTTGATCTTTCAAAACAAAAATCAGATTTTCTTCATCTTTTATCTCAGCATTTTTACCAATAAATAAATTTAGTTTCTCAATTGAAATTTACATACTACTTTGAAAAGTAAACCAGACATGCTAGTATTATTTTAATAAATTGGCTACTAAATTCATTAAATTAGTACATTTAGTAAATTCAGTAAGGTCTTTTTTTACTAAAATTAGCTAAAAAAAGTTGTTAGTGATAATTATTATGACAAATCTAAACTGTCTCTAATTATATGTTAGCCTTTCTTGGTCAATTTTAACATGGTCACACTAATGTAACATCTCAGTGAGGTGATTTTTTATTAAATAAGAAACCTAAAACTGCAAGTAAACCTTTCTTTGATTATATCACATTATTTATTGTATTGCAGCCTCCAACAGCAATTCAGTGTATCAATGATACACTGATGTTTGAAGCTTGATATTTTTGCAGATGGTAAATTCTCTTGAATATGGATATAAACATTTATGGCAAACAACTATATAGATGTCTTCTTCTGATTATCATCCCTAATACATGTGCCTGTTTTACTGCATGTTATTCATCTCTGTGAGTCTCTCCTAGCTGCTTTTAATTTCCTTTAGCTGCTAATCAGGATATATGGGTTAAGAAATACTTGATTTGGTCAAGCAGCACATGTTCTAGTCTTTCCAGAAATTCCTCTTGCCTGTCCAAAGTATTTCATCTGCCTTCTCAGTCATGCACATGCTTCCTCCTCTATTGAAGTGTAAATCATTTTACAAATAGGATGAAACTGAAGAAAATTAGGAATTTGAAATAAAAAAGTAAAAATATATGAGGCTTAATTGCACTGTGCCTGTTTCAGTGTTCATGCTGCTATGGTTTCTCTGGAGCATGCCATATTCTCCACCTTTAATGGAAATATACAGCTTCCAAGCCCTTTGTGTAGAAGTGTTGTTCTACTTTCAAAATAGCCCTCATCACAAAGTTTGTAGAATTTCAGCAAATCCATATAGCTGCTGAGAAAGGGAATAGTGTTGTAGTGTTGTTTGAATTATTACTCACAGCCAGCCCCTCTGCAAGCCCTGTACTTTACAGAATGCTGTTCTTGATCTGTATGTACAGCACCTACTACAGAGGGACCCATTACAGCCCCTAAACTCTGCAGTAAAGCAAGTAATAAAGGAGGTAGATTCTCTGTCTCCAATACTTAGATTTTTAAATGAGACACAAACTACATTTCAGGCATATAGTACGCACTGTGATAAAAAATAAGCTCAGTTTTAAAGTGCCTAATATAGTTATGATTGGTTATTCTTTAAAGTTTCATGAAATTAATATATTTAAGAGACGTGTGAATGATAAGAAGCACAGAACTGCAAGCCTAAGGAATATCACAAGAAGGTATTACAAGAGAGTACAATACGTGTGTATTTAGAAGATAAGCCAAGGGGTGCATAAACAAAAAGCAAGAATGTAACAAAATGTTAGGATCAAAGATTTATGTAGGCAAGTGGGAATATGGATGTGTGAAATTTTGCCTTCATGATTAGGAAGATAAGACACTCATGGAGAACTACAGTAGATTAAAGTTCATTGGAGGACCAGAAGGTTAGTTCCACGTTTACTCCAGGAAACTAAACCACTTCTTGTATGAAGTATATTGCTAACAGATGGGAACAAGCTGAAGATAAAGGGAGCTAATATGTACAATGTCAAAATATATGTGACAGAAACAATCTGAAAATCTAATTGAGCACAGCCTAAAAATAGCAAAATAGGGTTGGGCTATTAATTAAATGGCTTATTAAATACTTAAATAATTATGAAATAATAGCTATCAAGTCTGTGAGAAACATGTACTTTTCCTTGCTATGCCTCTTGCTAGAAGTTAATCACTTCAATACAAAGGCCACTGCTTAGGAGTTTTAAGTGTAGGACAACTCATTTCAGGTCAGTATAACAAGTTTCTTTCCATTGCAACACACTGTGTCTTCATACGTGAATGCAAACAGCATGACTGCAGTGTCATAACTATAAATTGCACCTCCCAACTTCTCTTTTACTTGGATTTGTTATTCAACAATGGGACAACCTAACAGAGAGAAATTAATGTATTGTAAACTGAAATATGGGCTTACATCATTGAATTTGGTTTTAAAGCGGATGACTTGTAGAAAAGAGACAAATGTTTAGTGTTGCACCTTCTTGCAAAATACTGACTGATTCTGCAAATGCTTAGATCCCTCATTGAAAGCAATTTCACTAAAAATGCTGTCTTCCTTCTCTCTTGGACAGAGCTATGAAATCTTTTTTAAAGATCCTCTATGTTTTGTTTTCAAATGTTGAATTCATACCATGCCAATACAGTGCAATGCCAATTTTTATTGTTTCAAAATCTGGATTTTTGTAGCAAATGCCTGTGGTCTGGGTCTGTGACGAGTAGGGTGTCCTGTAGCCTTAATAAAGAAGTAGTATTCCATAATAGTCACATTTTAGTGACACACTACCCAGTCTCAGTATGTTTATCTCACAGGCTCTCACCTGCAACTTTAAACCTACAAATATATTTAGGTATTTGAATGTTAGAATATGCGCACTCGAAGTTTTATTAAAAATTCACAGAGTGAATGTCACTGAAAGGAATTTTAGAGAGCCTTCAACAGTGACTCAGTAAGAGTATTTTTTATTGTAAGGGTTGGGCTATTAATTAAATGGCTTATTAAATACTTAAATAATTATGAAACAATTAGGCCTGGAATTAAGGTACAGTCAATTATTGTCAATTTTACCAAGTCAGCATTACTAAATATTCTGTTGTCTATAGATTTCATTTATACTAAGTAAGTCGTATAGCAAATTTGTGATGAATGCTACAACTTTTCCATTAAATGCAAGGCATTAGCTGTGGGCGCTGATATGCTGCAATTCTTTTGTGTGGAAGGTACTTTGTAAGTTATTTACAATCCATTTAGAGCCTATTCTTAAGAACATTTATGTGGTGAGTAATTTTACCTGCCAAGACTTGCACAGCCTAGACATGAGTAAAGTTTGCAAGGTCATGTCCTAATATGCTGTATTTTTTATACTTATATATATTGATTTGTAGCTCAGGATTATTTACACTTTTGAACACACCACAATTCTTTGTTCCATGTTATTCTTTTCAGGTTTTTAGTAACAATAATTAAGAATACTAAATAAGCATAGGTAGGGAAGCGGTTTTCTTGGAAGTCCACATGAAGTAAAGCCTTTTCTCAGAAATTACCACCAAATGAAGGACTATATATTTCCAATTTTATATTTAGAACTACAGCATATCAAAAAAGGAATAAAAAGTATATATAAAAATATAACTATGAATAAAATATATAGATATATTTTTTAGAGATATATTTGTTCTAAACTCAATTTGCTTGTCATTTTTCCAACTTTACTGACTCAGTGTAAGAGAGATAAAGAGCAGGGAAAGAGATATAAATCTTTATAAAGGACTTAAGTTATTCAGCGCTTGGCCAAAATGCATTTCAGATATGTTTAAAAAATTCTCTTGCAGATAATTAAGGTATTACACTTTTTCTATTAGCTATTACATATAAAACTACATATATTTGCATCAGTCATTTGTATTTTTTACCTTTTTTACAGTCACAGAATCATAGAATACTTTTAGGCTAGAAGGGACTTTTGGTGACCATCTGATCCAAAGCTCTGCTTGAGGCAGGGCCTAAAAAATTCAGCCAGGTTGCTCAGCACCTTATCTCACAGATGCAGGAATACATTCAAGGAGGTGATTTTACTGTCCCAGTGTTTGAGCACTGGAGCATT